CTAGGAAAATGCTTCTCCAGAAGCAGATAATTTAAGATATGCACAGTAGACAGCTTTCCGTTAGATGTCACAAGAGTACTATTATAATGAGGCTCGTACCCCTCCTAATTTTTCCTTGTGGCCACCTTTTTCACTTGGCAGAAATATTCGAGTAATTAAAATTCTAGATACTTGTTCTCATCCCCTGAAACAGTTCCACCCAGTTATGGGGTGTGAGATTGCTTAACTGTATATTTGAATAAAATGGGTAGACCTCCCACCTGGCTTATTCTTTAATCATCTGACTTGTTTGATTTACAAAGACCCTGGCTAAGAAACATGGTCTAAATGCTTGGTATCATCCTCCTAGTAGTCACACTGTCAGTCTCCCTGGGGCACTCCATCCTCTCAAAGTCTTAAATGTGTATGGACAGCTATCTGCTGGATGTTAACTGGGCTCTCTTGGCTGGGATGACCATGACTCAAACACTTGATCATGAGGACCCCTTAATCTATGGATGGTGGTGACTGAACGTGGTGCTGATGTCTTATGTTTTGATCAGATTCTTGTCTGTGGAAGCATGACCAATACGGAGAAATTGTTAAACGAGGTCAATGGGAAATCATGGATTTGGACTGGGCTTTTTGGGTTTGGCCCAGAAATTTAAACTTTCATCATAGTAACTGAGCTTTGGATGGTTGCCAAAGGATCTGTAGCCAGTTAACTGATTAGGCTGTAAACAGCTAGTTACATTTAACTGACAGTTTGGTTTTGCTGTTTACCCCCCACATCTGTTTTTCTCTAAATACTGTCTGAAAACATTGTTGAGAGTTCTTAGAACCTGCCCTGGTTCTGTATGCTGTCATATTTGTGAATTGTTTGTGTTTTTGCTTTAATAAAATACACTCCACTGAGCTTAATGGATCTGGGGATTTTTCTTTCTAATTGGATTGGAAGTCCACCATTGGCTGCTAGCATATGAGATGACCTTGTCTCTTGGAACACAGAGCCCCAGAATTCAGCAAGCTGCTGCTTTGTGTTTTCCTATGAGGACAGAGATGACTCCAGTCCTATCTTTTCTCATGTTGCATTTGTGTTGTGAACTGAGAAGACTACATGGGAAATTGTCTGTTGATTAATTAAAACTAATAAAGAAGCCCTGTTACAGAGAACAATTAGCTTCCTTCACTTATGGTTTTCCACCAATCATCAAATTCGTTAACTTAATAATATGATTTTTCTGCATTACAGAGGAAATAAGATGGCTTGGATCATTCACAGAGGAGCCTAATTTTGAATTCAGTTATGGCAGTTGGAAATGTTTAGAAAGATCAAAAGCATTAGGACTAGAAAAGTCTGGATTCTAACCCAAGCTCTCTGTAGAGAGTTCTTGTGGATCCAACTACAAAGCCCATTTGGGCTGGTTTCCTCATCAGCAAGAAAGGAATGTCACGACAGTGTTTGAAGACTGTACTGAGGCTTAAAAGGGCACATGAGAAGTATCTTGACCAGTGCTAAAGCACATATCTATACATAATAAATGTACAAGTTCCTCTTTGATAGTTTCATAGATTTTAATCTTTAGTTTCCTCTAGCCAGGAGCTTTAAGAAGCACTAGTTATAATAGACTTTACCACAGACAACTTTGAACACAATTAACATACTCATATCACTTGCCCAGGCCTCATTCATAAGAATTGCCTGCCCTTCCCAACCATTCATTATAAACCCAGTGTCCCAGGCCTCTTCCTAGGTTTTTAAGTGGATCCAGGACAGGGTCAGGGAATTTGTGGGTTTAATAAATATCTGAAGTAATTATCTTCCAGGAAAATACTGACAACAGAGTTTGGTTTTATTTATGTAGTGCAGGGGACAAAACAACCCCAGGCCTCATGCAAGCTGGGTAAGTGCTCTACCATTGATCTATAACCACAACCCCATAACTCAGCTTCTTCAACTTTAATGGACAATTTGGCTGTTGTGTTGAAATGCACATAATCAGTGGGTCTGAGATGGGGCCTAAAATCATTCATTTCTAGCATGCCCGTGGGGGATGCAAAAGTTGCTGGTCTGAGGATGACACTCTGAAAAGGTCATTAGGGTCTGGGTAACTGGACCAGCAGTTACCTAGTAAGTATCTTAAAGGTCTTTCTGTGATTTCACAAGGAGGTGGGAAAATGAGTTAAATAAAATGTTAAGCTGTGAGTGGGTAATTTCTTGTTTTTGCTTGTCAACCTTGACTACACAAGAAACAGTTTTTAAAAATTATAGATGCCTGGGTCCAAACTTCAGATACAAATTCCCTAGTGTGGCCAGGAAGGCAGCCCCTGAGCCAGTTTAAAGCTTGTTGATTCTCAGAAATTTTAGCCCTGCCTAGGGCCTGATAAACCAAAATCCGCAAGTCATGCTACCTTATCTCCTGTCACCAAACCAATCAGTTTTCTCTAAAGGGCTCGGCTGTTGAGTGCCCAATGTGATTGCCCCACATGAGTAGATAAGTATCAATTTTTTAAGAAGTGATTTCTCCTTAGCTGAACAGCTATCTCCAGTTCGTGAATTCTCTGGTTTTCTTAACAATCTTGTATCCCCCACTCCCACCCCCATCCCAACACCCATTCCAAAAGAGAACTTGTGGCTTCTGTAGGTGGGACCCCATTGCCCTGACACTGTTAGAGATTTACTAAAAAGCAATGCCTTTGACTTTAAGATGAGCCCTCACAGTTTGTTAGGGAAATGCTATACCAGCAAACACATGTATAACTACCTACCCTTTGCATTAAAAAAAAATAGCACCATGTAGATGTTGACAATTTGGTGCAAGAAATTATGTTACAGTGGGCACATCCATGAGAGCACAATTGTCTGGATGTCTGCCCTTTCATGACCTCCGTAGTGTTATAGTGAATGAATCTTCATTCTTTCACTTGTTTCAGACTTCATTTTATGTATTCACTCTAAATTGGTTGCTTAACAGTGATTGCTGTGGTTCTGATATGTGTACTTTGTGGGTTTTCCCTTCATGGCAAAGGCCGACTTTACTTCATAGTATGATATCAGTACCATTAAACTGGCCATTTCCATAATTGCTTTTTAAAAATATGATTCTTAGCACAGTAAATTTCTCTAAGCCAAGAGAAATATATTCTCAGGCAATTAGAATCACTGTCATGGTCCTGTCCCCCATCTTCTTTTAACTTGTAGTAGAAGAGGAGGAGGTGAGGCTTTTTCTACATCCCTGAGCCCAGCACTTACTCACAGCTAGACAGTGTTATCTAGGATGCTGTGGACATAGTTTGAGTATGTTCCCCAAAAGTTCATGTGCTAGAAGCTTGGACCCCAATGTGGTGGTGGTGAAGTAGGGCCTACCACAAAGTGGGTGGATCTCTGGGGCTACCAGCTTTGAAAGGGATTAATGAAGGTCTCTTGGGATCTCAGTTATTCTTACAAGAGAGAGCTATTATGGTCCTGCCATTGTGATGCCATCTGCCCTCATCAGAGTCTGAGTGGATGGATCAGCTGATTCTGGACTTTCTGCTTCTATAACTGCACCTTCTTTATAAAGTATCCTGCCTTCGGTATTTTGTTATAGCAAATGGCCTAACAGGTAGGCTAAGGGAATATTTAAAGAGATGCCCCACATCCCAAAGAATATGAAAATTACTTAAAACATTTAAATCACGGTAACAGCATAGAGTTCTTGAATTTGACAAAAATCTCTCTAAGGATGAACAGATCTGAAGGAGTAGGTAAGTGGCAAGGAAACCAGGTAGGAGGCTACTGGGCTCATCTGGGGGAGAGATGATGATAGAGATTAAGGTTTCTGGTAGCAGAAAAGTGATGGGAATAGAGAGCATTTTGCAAATTTGGTGATTTTGCATGTGTGTGTGTGTGTGTGTATTCAATGTTTTTAAAAATATTTTTATTCTAATTTGTTATATATGACAGTGGAATGCATTACAACTCATACTACACATATAGAACAATTTTTCATATCTCTGGTTGTACACAAAGTATATTCACACCATTCGTGTTTTCATACATGTACTTTGGATAATGATGTCCATCTCATTCCACCATCCTTTCTGACCCAATGCCCCCTCCCTCCCACCCCTTTGCCCTTTCTCATTGTTTTTTAATGTAAAGGGAGAGTACACGTAGAATCTGGTCATGTGAGAAGACGAGGAACATGGCATGCTTTGAGAGAAGGGTCTGAGAAGAGAACCGGCACACTTTGGGATGTTTTGAATATGAGTCCTCACATACAAATACCTAAAAGTGAAAGGAAAGACCAAAGGCCCAGCAAAGAATGAACCCAGGGAAACATTGTGTTTAAGGAGACAAGTACTCGGAAGAGGGCAGAATTTTTAAGACAAAAAGGAATAGACAAAGGTTGAAGAGAAGTAGGAGACAGATGTGTCGGGAAGCCTGGTGTTCAAGGGGGACATGGCCTATGTTAAGTGATGCCTGAAAGTGGGCTTTGGGTTCAGGGTGTCACTGACTGCCCTCAGTACAATGTGGATGGTGCAGTGGACAAAGCCAGATTCTGAAAGTGAGGGGTGATAGGAAGATGGGAAGGTTTCCAGCACAGACTACTGTTTTAGGGGGTCAGCTGAGCATGGAAAGAAGGAAAAGCTAAGGTTAAGGAAATGGCTTCTAAAAGGAGAGACAGGAGGCAGGAAAAAAAAAAACCATGAGGGGGACCCCAGTCATGGATGGAGCCAAGGCTTGGGAGAATGTGAGGAGGTGGAATGGAGAAAGGACACTTCTTCCCTGGAGACTGTAGGGAAGACAGGTGTGGAAGTTGATAAGTCCTTCAGAGGAGGAAGTAAAAGGAGTTTGAAAACAATCTTGAAGAATGGACTGTTTGTAGAGGTCAAAAGAAAAAAGACAAACCATTCCAGTCACCAAAAGCAATGTGCAAAAACCCATACTTTCTAAAATAGACTGATAATCAGTAATGTCTTTGGAGGTGGTATGTATATTTATGTATGTGTTTTAAAAAACTTACTAGTCATTATTTTCATGCTAAATTTTTATTCAATATTATGCAACTGCATAAGTATAAATATTTGTTCAATATACAACAATTATGACATCCACGGGGGAATTTCTTAGAGAAAATAAGACTGCAAACACTTTATTGCACAGATCCTAACAAACTTTTAAGCTGTTAAGTCTACAGCTGGGAGTACTACCGAGGAGCACATCTTACAATCACACAGAGACTGACCAAAGAGAACACAGGAGAATTTCTACCAGCTGACTGGAGAGCTTCACAACAACAAACAGGTAATACATGAATGCAACCTTAAGTACTCTTTACTCATCCCAAATGCAAAAACATATTTGGCAAAAATGATAATACACTATACAAAATATACATAAAAATATCCTTTGTAAACAAGCAGCTAATTGTGCTTTAAAGAAAACTGGACAGTTAAAAAGCAAAGGCTGTAAACCATGAACTACCTCCTGGACAGACCTGGATTGATGTCTGAGTATAGAAGGATCAGGTTCTGACAACTGCCAAACATATGTATTAAAAGCTTTGAGACCACTTTGAAATTCTTTTAAGTTCTTGTAAAAAATATTTTTTTTTCTACATTTCAACATGTAGTGATGGGGAATGGCTAAAACTACATGGAAAAAAACAGGGGCAAAGAGGAAACTTTTTTTTCCTGTCATTGCAACTCACTTTACAACAAAGGACAACCGAGTAGTAGGTTGTTATACCTTTGTTTATGGAGTGCTTACAGCCTTGCTAGATGATTTACAATCTATAGGGCTGTACAATGATGCTGTGATTACATAAACAATTTTATAGCATAAAGCTACTAAGACATCCCAAGGGGATTTGGGGCTAGGTTAGTCATTTATTGGTAAATTTTTCATCTTACAAAACCAAAACTCCTGCAATGTGTCCCAAGCATCTTATAAATACTTATCTGCATTGTCTCTCAGTGCCTTAGTACTTATGTCAGCAAGTGCCATCTCACAATTCAAAACAAGCCACCAAAAAACTTCAACAAAAAAAATCAAAACCCCTCAGCATTTAAATGATTTGACAAATTCTACATATTTCATGGTATACAAAATTTAAATAAGGCTTAGCAAAAGTAAAAAGGATGATCACATTCAAGCACCAAATAGCTCCACTAAGTCTCTTTTGTTACAAAAATGCTGCTCTTTATTAATACAGTAATTTTTGCATACAAATAGAGAGTTCATGTTATGAAATACATGGAGCTATTCGATGCATCAGAAATGAATGTGAAACCCAGGAACTTGCTAAAAACAGCAAGCTTCATCTACAACATAAGGCCCCAGCTATGTATTAAAATGTATCTGATGTCCTGATTATTCCTTAATATATATGCTATGATGCCAAAATCCAACTCCCCCCCCCCCTTCTTTTCCTCAAAAAAGCAAATTTAAAACCTCTTCCAATGCCTGATGCTTATCACTTGACCTAAGTACCAGCAGATTTGTGTGCAGCCAGTTATTTTATTTTTTTATTCAAGAGCAGGGTTGGTGCAGGACTACCACAAAATGTGTGCTTCTTGGACTAGTCACTCATAGCACAAAGGCCTGAGTGTAACCATTTGAAAAGAAAGGAAAGAAAGAACAGAAACAAAGGTGATATATGTTTATAGTCCCTGCTCTACCACCAAAGAAGACCAGACATATAACTGACAGACAAGAACAACTGGCCTTTTAGACAGCAGGACCTAAGGATTAAAATGTCTACTAGGATGACTGAGAAAGGAAAATGGCTAGCTTCATTTGTCCTGACCATTCATAATGGAGGATTCCAAATGCAGCAATCAGAGTGCTCTTGCTTTAGAACTGGAAATACAGGTAGCCAGATCCAGTACTATCAGAAACTGGTTTAAAAATACACATTTAAAAACTCACAATCTACTGTATTTAGGGCTTTCTTTCATCTTTAACTACTTATAAAAACAGAGCCTTGAAATATTCTCAAACCACAGACCAAAACATGTGGGTGGATGTGTACATACATGAATATGGATGTATCTATTTTTACACACACCCAGTTCTGACCATTCTGCTTCATTACTACATTATGATAAGTGGTAAAGCAAAGATCTTAATTTTAAAAAGCTGTAGTAAACAATGCAATCAGCAGCAAGGTATAGACTCTACATCCCAAACCAAACACATTTCTAGATATTTACAGAGAAAAATCTCTTTCCTCAACAATCCTTAGCTGTAAAGGTATTACTTCTTTTTTGTACAAATACCATCTGGCAACAGTTCTACCGGTTCCAACTAGGAAGGCATCTGGAAGAAGGTTCCCTCTCTCTCTCCCACTCCTTCTCAGTGAGGCTCTAAGCTCTGCCTGGCGGACATTCCCACACAGTGCTGGTTTCGAAGGTGGTCAAGACACAGTTACACATTCAGGTGGGGTCTCCACAATCCTGCTCTGGGGCCTGCCCAGTTAGGAGGCTTTTTTGTGAGGACTGCTACGCAAACTCTCTTTGCCCCGTCTCTGCCGCACCACAAAGTCCTTCTCTGAAGAAAGGGTGATGGGGCGATCAGAGTTTGGGGCTTGGGGTGCCTTGATTGCCTCCCTGCCCACATTCTGTTTCCTAGTGGGGAGAGGCTGGGAGGGGGCAGGCTCTCGACCTTTGGTTTCTCCTGTGGCAGCGGTGACCGAGAGCGCTCTGTCCCTGTGGCCTACTCCGCTCAGCCCCTGTGAATCTGAGTGCTGTGACTCCAGAGTAGAGGTGGCGAGGCGGAAGGATGGCAAAGAGTCACTCTTTGTCATTTGGGTTCTGCCATCTGCCCCAGACTGGGACTTCCTGTGGTCCCTGTTGCTGGGGGCTGTAGGCTCAAGTGCGGCCCCATTGGCCTTGGCAGAAGAGGGGCTGCTGCTGGCCGTGGCAGCATCTCGAACTCCAGGCTGGGCCTCGGGGAAGCTGGAGGAGTAGCTCAGAGACTTCTCTGGGAGGGCAGAGGATCGGAAAGAACTCTGCCCAGTGGCCGAGGGTGACCGTTTCATGCTGCTGAGCTTGCCAGCCTCAGCCAGGGTCTTCTGGGGACCAGGTCCCTTCCCCTTGGCCTCTGAGGAGCCCTTTCCCACCGCTGCACCTGGCTTCTCTGTGCCTTTCAGCCGGGCCTCACCATGAGCTAGGGAAAGGCTGGCCTCCAGCTTCCCGCTGTCTGCCGCAGGAACATAAAGTGCTTCTGTGCATTTCTTCCCTTCTGGCTTCCTGTCTGCAGCGGGGACCTGCTGACTTGGGCTTCTGTCGGTCTGTCTGCACAGAGGGGGACAGTCTTTCACAGTGGATGGTTTGGGGTGCTTTGGAGACAGGCTTTGCTTTTCACTGACAATGGGAGGTTTATGGTCTACTGACTCGCTGAAGCCTGGGTGTCCTGGCCTTGGCAAATGCAGCTGCTTCTCCTGCTTCTCTGGGCCATGCCCACTGCTGGGTTTCAGTTTGGGATCAAAAGGACTCTCTTCAGTGTGCAGTGGGTTGAAGGGCACACTTTCTCCCCCACCACCCACCTCGTTAGCTTTGCTCTGGGAGCCTGGGATGGCAGTGAACACATCCAATCCACCTTTACTATTGCTCCTTCCCTCTCTGCTAGAGCCACTGAGGGGCTGAGTGACAGGCTCTTTGCCCTTTGCAGTGACAACACTTGATTTCTGTGAGGACAGGGACCTGTCTGGGTGCTTGGACTTTGAAGGGCCGGGGTCAGGGCCAGGTCGGAGATTGTGGTCACTGCTCTCACTGCGCACAGCAACAGAAGGCCTAGGAGGATCCTGGAAGGCTGCTGCAGGTTCTGCCACACCTGGCTTGGTCCCTTGGGGACCAAGGCTTGAGGAACTGCAGTGCTGCCGAGAGGCCAGGCAGGACAGGTCTTTGGTGGTCAGGGGGTGCTGAGAGTCACTGCTCACATGCCTTTGTAGAGGCTGCTCTTTCCTGTCAGGCTCCTTGGGACCCTCTTTCTGCAAAGAGGAGAAACTGGGGAGCTTTTCAGTTTTCCTACTCTCAATTCCGAGTGGCTGTAGGGGACACTTGGTAGGGGGGGCTTCAGGCTTGGGTTCCATGCTACTTCTTATCTTGCCCACCTCCCTTTCACAAGGAATTCTAGCAGAGTTCAAGGAAGAGTCCTCTCTGATCAGGGACCTTGCCTCACCTTGGCCATCTCTGTGGTATATCTTTGCACAAGGTCCCCACGCTTTCTCCGGGGTCTGGGCCTGTGCACTACTAGCATCTGGGTGGGTCCTTCCCACAGAAGGGAGATTTTTGCAGTTGTCATTGGCTTTAGCAGTCTCTAGAGGATACAGTTCCACAATGGGGTCTCTGTGCACATCCGCTCTCAAGGCAGAACGCTCACTCCTCCCTGTGGAGGGTCCCTTTTCAGATGGATCTTTTAGGTTTGCCTTCTCCTTTGAGGGGGCCCCTTCAGATGGGAGAGGGCCACATGGCCGAGCCTGGTCATTGCAATGCTGTGTCTGTCCCAGGCCAGGGATGACCTTGGTGTCAGCAGCACAGTCTTGGTGTTTAGTGGGGCCACACACTCTCTGCTGGGAATCGTTTTCCATGACTGTCAATGGGCTCCTGGCAGCAGGATGGGAAACTTTTCTGTCTCTCTTTAGCTCTGGGTCGGGCAGGGAAGCTGCTGGTGAGTTCTGGAGACCCCGGCTGGGGGGCAGGAACCGAGGCTCGAGCAGGTAGGCTTTATTCATCTTTAAGCTGGCAGGGGAAGGCTCTCTCAGGCTGGAGGTTTCACTCTTCTTCCCACTACTGCCAGGAAGAGGTAGTGGCACAGAGGGTGCCATGTCACCACCAGGGCTGGGACTCTGTGTAGGCTCTGGTGATGGCTGCTCTGTCTTAGAGGCATGGGGCCCAGACAGAAGAGCAATGTCCAGTGTACCCTCAATGGGCTTCAGGCATGAAACTGACCGACCCTCCAGCTTATACTCAGAGGGGCTTTTCCTGACAGGGGACTCAGGAGCAACCAAACCTGACTTCTCTGCTCCACCATCCACCCGGCCAGCTAAGGTCTTGAGAGAAACAAAGGAGACGGTGCTCATCTGAGTTGTGTGGGTGCTGCTTATAAATGCTCGGCTCTCAGAGCCAGGTGGGGCCTCCTGCTGCCCACCCATGGGTCGGACTGGGTTCCCTGGCAGGCATTCATGGGTGCTAGATGTTATCTTGGGCTTCAGCATGGAGCAGTGGCCATCTTCTTTGTCTTCAAGTGACATTTTCTTTCGGAGGTAATCAATATTGGCCAGTTTACTGTCTAACTTCTCACTTCGGAGGAACTCCTTGGCCTGGGAGGTCTTCTCTGTGTTTTCACCCTTCCCAGAGGTGGACCTGTCAGGGGAGCGACAGAGACTGTCCTGGAGGGTGCTGGGAGCAGAGGCCCTTTTGAAATCACCCATGCCCTGGTTGTGCTCCCCTGGTGCTGGGCCACAGGCAGCTGCTGTCCCTTCGGAGGCCATCCCCTCAGTGGCCCGCACACTGGCCTGCTTGTGGAGAACATCTTTCAGCCGGTTGCCCAGAGACTGGGCCTCTGCTGCTTTGTTTTCAAAATGACTTGACCTTTCTAAAGGCTTGGGGTAGACTTTCTTCTCTCTCTCCTCTAGCCTAAAGAGAGCGTGATTTTCTGCATCACTGCTGAGACCATGGGGTTTCTGATGGGATTCAGGCTTTTCTGGGAGGCCATCTGGTTTCTTCACTGTCACCTTGGACTTCAGTTTGTCTCGGTCCACGTCGTCCACAGACTCCTGCCGACCCAGCTTCCTGGAGACCGGGCGTTTTAGGCAGCCTTGCTCCACTGGCCGGGCACGACTTAGGGACGGGGCATCGCACACGTTCTCCTCCAGGCTCTGTAGAGTTGCCTCCCGCTGGGACTGCTCCCTCTGCACCTCCTCCTGGGTCACTTCCAGACTGTGTTTGCGGGAGCACAGGTGCTTTTTGTCACTGCCATAGGAAGGTGACAACTTTTCCTCGGACTGCACACGCTTGAGCAGAGGTGACCGTGGGGGCTCAGCACTCTTGGGCCTCACAATGTGTCTGACAATGGTGGGGGGGGAGTGCATCTTGCTGGGAAAGGCTTGTGCAATCTTGGCATTGCCAAGTGAGTGTCCCAATAATGGGGATGGTGAGCGTTGTGGGGAGGTGGGCTGGGGCGTTGGAGAGGGTGTCCGGGCCAGCGGGGAGAGTGGAATGCTGCCGGCTGACTTTCTTCTTCCGGAGCGGTACCTCTGCCCACTGAGTTTGGGGGCCAGGCCGTGGAGGGTGCTGGGGCGGATGTGCCCTGACCCGGCTGGGGAATTGGGGGCACTAGAACTTGGGGAGCTGCTCTGGGAGGAATTAGTACCTGTGGGCAGAAAAAAGGGCTGTAAGAATCCAGCGTCCTTGTCCCTTTTTTCCCAAACTTTCCCAACCAGACCACTGGCGGTACAGTCAGCATCATGTCTTAGTATCTCACTAATGAAATGAACCTCCCTACATCCAGGCTTAGCCCATACTACTTGTCTTAGTTTAATAGTCAGAAAAGCCCCTCTGTCCTCCCTGCGAGTCCTGTTTGTCATTTACTTCCTCAGCTTGGCAAAATCTTCATGATGACTTCACTTCCTCTGGACTCTCTCTTGCTGTCTAGACCAGGAGACTTACCAGATGGAAAGTCAGGGGTGGAGCGATAGCTGGGTGTGGGAGATCGAGGAGACAAGCTGTGAGTGGGGGAACCTGGGAGGCTCTCTCCGGATGACAGGGACCGGTTCAAGCAGGAGAAACTTCGACTGGTGTGGAGTAAAGGAGAAGGCTGTTTGGCTAGCTTTTTGAAAAGAGATCTCCTCCTGGAGTGGAAAACAAAAATCATGGATCAGAGCCTATTTTCAGAACCACACCTGCCTCCCTACCACATCCACACATTCAGTTTAGCAACTTTGTCAGATAAGCGAAGAGAGGAGGATGCTACTTTTATGTTAAAACTTTCTCATGACCTGTAAGGGAATAGTCTTTTAAGGTTCTCCTAATGCCAAACGCTTAGGAAGAGCCAGGAAAACAGGAAAAATACAAATACATTCAAATCATTTCTTTATTAGGTTTATTAGAAGTGTCTTCTTTGTATGAAAGCTCTGAGTATATACCCCATATATATCAAGAGGTAATGGTTTTTCCTTCCAGAGATTAATTTTGTGTTAACTTAGATATAGAATTTGTTAAAGCCTCTACCCATTGTCTCCCCATTATCTAGGAAGGGCTGTGTGCTGTGTTTATTCTGTTGTAGGCTGCTGGATATCCCTAACAACACTGTAGTCTGTGTGTTCACATGGAAAATGCAAAGTGAGGCTGCAGCTTCTATCAACGGTAGCAGACATGATACACAGACACGACCATGCACTTAGCACTTGATGAGCAGGTCACAAAGCAAAAAAATGCAGCTACCCCTGGCTTATCAGTGCCCCTGGATCTATGGCATTCTTTTACCATCATAGAAGCCAATCTCACCCTGGTGAGCTTACACAGAAAGTTGGGGTACTACTATCCCTTGAAACAATACGTAACCTAAAGCACAATCAAAATATAGAGCACAACCTCTGAAAGAACAGAGGGACTCTTGAACTCGAGTGTGTAATTTTAATCAAAGTCCTTGGTGCACAAAGTCATAAACTTACAATGAAACAGCAACTCCCCTTATGCTGTCTGCACACCCCAGGGAAACTACCTTCTTCTACTTTATCTGTTTCTTCTTCCATTTGTCTGTATTTTGCTAAATAATGTGCTTATCCTGGCATTTTAAAAACCTTTCCCAGTTGTAGAAATTATCAGTTGATTTCTTACCATAGAAAATGAGAATTAAGCTCTTGTATAATCTCCTTCTATCTGCTGAACAAATACACTATCCCTTTTCTATTTCTCCCAATATGGCTAAAACAAAGAATTTTGGTTACACAATGGCTTGTGTTTTAATTTATATCACAGCTAGGCTACGTATAACATTTCTCCTTTTTGTAAAACTTTTCCTTGGAGTTAAAAAATGATTTTTTTTCTTGTCTGCCTATATTCCTATATTTATATCAAGAGTCCTCTTGGTGAGATAAATCTGTCAGATCCAAGTGAGGGAAGGACACGGGCTGTGGCAGCACAAAGAAGCCACACCAGGGGCCGCCTGGCAAAAGGTATCCCCACCTGGAGCACCAGCGCTCCCCCAGGCTGCCACTGTGTTACCTTGTTAGACTTCAGTCAGTTAGAAAAAATCCTTTACCTTCCAGGTTTATTTAGAAGCTTTAAAAATGTTCTTATTTTGGAATATCTGGCATTACAAAATTGTTTTTAGATAATCTACGGGACATTTAAAATGCAGATTTAATGTGAAAAACTGCCTCCTACTGGTTCAGTTCTTCAAATTCAACTCTCCTAAAATGAAGTCTAGCAGCTTCATAAACAACAAAAAACTTTTCAGGGTGCTCACAAGTGATAAAAAACCATTAAAATCCTTCTGCAATGAAAATATGTCAATGCTTTTCTTATGAAAAATAATGCTATTGTGAATACAAACTTCAACAAATATATGTGAACTGTGGCATAGAATTTCTCATAGAGAAATAGGTCTTTCTCATACATAAGCATTTAAGTAAGGAGTAATTTCTCCAAAATGGATATATACCAAATTCCCAAGAAGAATGATTTAACTAACCTTTCTAGACTTTCCTTCTTCTTAGACTTCTTGCTCCGCCTCACCATCCGGCTCTTATAGCTGTTTCTCCTGGCTGGTCCTGTTTTGATTGATGTGTTTTCAAATGGGGTAGTGGTGATTGACACCTTATTTCCACTCTATAAAAAAGATGAGGTGATATCAAAGGGAATGCTGTGATGCAACATAAGAACAGAACAGAGGTAAGAGATCCAAAGACGAATAAATACAAGCATTCATAAAAAGAGCCTTCCAGTTTCTAAACAACCCTTCCATCAATGAAGTCCAGGCAATTCAAATGGGGGTGGAGGGTAAAATATGAAGTCTCTTAAATAGGGTGAGCTCTGGAGACCACATGTTTGAGTTCAAATCCAAACTTTGTAAACTTGGAATGGAACCACTAGTTGACCCAGCCATCCCACTCCTTGGTTTATGCCCAAAGGACTTAAAATCAGCATATTACAGTGATGCAGCCACATCAATGTTGCAGCTGAGTGATGCAGCTCAACTCACAATAGCTAAACTATGGAACCAACCTAGGTGCCCTTCCACAGACAAATGGATTTAAAAAATGTGGTACATATACACAATGGAATGTTACTCAGCCTTAAAGAAGAATGAAATTAGGGCATTTGTGGGTAAATGGATGGAAGTGGAGACAACCATGCTAAGTGAAATAAGTCAATTCCAAAAAACCAAAGGCCAAATGTTTTTTCTGATATGCAGATGTTAACTCACAATAGGTTGGGGGCGAGGCTAGGAAAGAACAGAGTTACTTAAGGTAGAGGGGAGTGAAGGGTGGGAAGCAGATATGGGGGTAGGAAGGATAGTAGAATGAAACAGACATTATTACCCTATGTATATATATAACTATACGACTGATGGGATTCTATATCATGTACAACCAGAACAATGAGAAATTATTTTCCATCTATATATGATGTACCCAAGTGCATTCCTACTCTCATGTATAACTAATTAGAACAAATAAAAATAGTAAACAAACAAAACAAATCTAAGCTCTATGATCTCAGTGGGCTGGCTGCTCACCTCCTGAGGCCTCAGTGGAGTCACATACATGGTACTTGCTAATGGTACCAATGCTGCCTATCCCACAGGGCTCATCTGAGGCATAAATGAGAGTTTGTAAAGCCTTTAGCACCAAGTGTGACACATGGAAAGGACTCTATAAATAAGTTATCTTCATCCATATGTATTAAGTATAAATGTGCCCAGTGGCTGTCTGCTCTTGGCATGCATATACATACATATATATATTTCTCCCTTTTGTGCTTTGTCTTTGGCCTAGAAATCACAGAGTAGCAAAACTGAATGAGACTTTTATTTTTAATTACTTTAAAAGGTTTCCTTTCTATTGTCATAAAACCTGTCAGTTTGCAGAACTGGAAAACATGTGCCAGCTGGTAGGAAACCTCTTTCTAACCAGATCACACTGGATGAGGTAGTTCCTGGTGGGCTTCTGTGTCTTTTCACTCAGTCTGGGAACAGGAGTTTCCTGGGCAGGCCCTGGGGATGAGTTGAGCATGGAGTCTGCTGCTGGGCCCAGAGTACCCAGGCAGTCAGACTGGCATCACACTGGCATCCATAAACTCTTTTTGAATTTTGAAATAACCAGGAAAGAAACATGTCCTTTCAAAGTAAGAGATGGTTCTGATTACCTTGAAAATATGAGTAGGATAAGGAAAAGGGCATTTGCCTAGAGGACACCAGCAGCTCATCTCTAAGTGGTACCAAGTGATGGGAAGTTAAGTGTGGTAAGAACAGGGGATGGAAAAAACAGGGACTGACTGTTTTAATGATAATATCTACTTTCTGCCCCTGATTTGAGACATGCCATTATAAGAAGAAAAGAATAAAGTAGAAATAAAAAGGAAATCATTGAGAAGCCTACCACCCAACTACACTGGTAATATTTCATGTATTGTCTGCTGGTCTTTTTTATATTTGTGGTGATGGAGATAAAACGCAGGGGCTCATGTGTGCTGGGTAAGTGCTGTGCTACTGAGCTACGTCCCTGACCACTGCTGGCCTTTCTTTTTCAGGCTTGCACATGCATGTGCACATACACAAGGTTTAAAAACAATTTTAATTTTACTATGTTTGTTTTTCATTTTTTATTATATAATTTTTAAAAACTTTTATCATTAAGTATTATCTTAAGAACATGATTTTTATTTGCTGTATAATGTAGTCTATCACTTGGGTGAATCAAAATTCATTTAGCTATTTCCCTACTGCTATTATTTTCTGTCTTTCAATTCCTAGGAGTTCTCTTACATATTCATATTTTGTTAGGGAAGATTTATCCATGCCTTACCTCCAAGGAAAGTATTTAATTATTGGTTTTTTAGTTCTCTATACATTTAGGAACATATAAACTCATACCTAATGTCATATTTGTAGAAAATATTTTAGGAAACTAGGGTTTGAATTTCAACAAGACACCCCCCCCTTATTCAGAAAGGATAGAGATTTGCATTCTATTTATTATTTAAATAGAAATTTTGGCTAATAAGTATGTAAGGGCTACCACTGAAAGATTTTTGGAACAGGTTATCTCTTCACAAATTGAGTGAGACCAGATAAAAATATGTCTTTTCTTATTTTGAAGGCTAGAGGCCACAAAATGGTTGGAGTTCACCTTTCATTGATGTTCTTTTAATCCTTTTCCACATTCCTACATGGAGTAGTCACCCAGAGCTGTAATGATCATCTGGCTGTCCTATTGTCCACTTGAATCTGAATCTAGTTCTACTCACTTCTATGGAATTCATGACTGACTCTTATATCTAATCTAATGAAGCTAACCATGCCACCTGGCATGGTAGAGCTTGTAGAGCTTGGTTTTTAAACCATTTTCATATATATTCTCTTTACTTTTGGTTTTACAACCTAATGAATGGGAAGGGACTGTCATCCTCGATGTACAGATAAGGGCAATAGATTGAGAGTCCCTGAAATTCTTCTTCCTCAGGGTCACAGAGCCCAAGGGAAGAGCTTGTGCTTTTCTCTCCTGTTCCTCACTCTTCCATGCTCTTCTCTCCCAGACCCACTGTGTAGGGGAGGGTACACCCTGAGTCCCTCTGCCTCTGCCTGGTGTGGTATGTGGTTTGGGCTTGTCACCAGGGGTGGTGAGCATATCAGCATGTAATTTATGGCCGTGAGTCATGCTTGAAGAATCAGATCACTAAGGAAATGTAAACATCAAAAAATTGTATAAGACAAAATATAATTTAGATCCTGAGCACTCCTCATTACAAAACAGTGAGGAGCAAAGCTTGCTAAATGGCAGCACATCACCCCATACACCCTATAAAAACCAAATTCAGTTTTCTCTTTGTTTCTATATGGCTCTTTCAGAGGACAATTCACTTTTGACTTACACACATATAGCAAAGATAATTTCTCTAAGGAGTAATACACAAAGGATGTAGAGTGCAAATATTAGGTTGGAAACATTACTAAGTAGAAAAATGGTAAATGATCGAAAAATAGGTGCTATTTGTGAAGCCTGCCACCTGGTGGATTCATTCTGCTACAGCAGCTGCTCCCTGAGTTCCCTTCCTGTAGTTTACCTAGGCTTATCCTCAATTAACTTGATGAATGAGCCACCTCTTAGAGAAATTCTGTGTCACTTGTTTAAAAGATAACAGCAACAACAACAGAAATGTATCCAGCAGATTGTTAATGTTCAATTAATTCACTTTTACTTTAAACTCTTTTGGTTATTAGTGCACAGTGGGTGGGAAATTATTTTAAGCTAGCTGAACTGAAGACAACAGCAGAAGTCAGACATCTAATCTCTTCTCTCAGCCTGGCTCTGTTAACTGATAAGCTATCAGTTGGCCTTGGGTAATTCACAGAGTTCCACAGGTTTTACCTTTCTTTCTCTGAAAAGTAGAGATGGGGATGGGCTCTTCCTTCATCCCCTTGCCATTGCCCTGACACACTCACCCAACCCCAATCTTCCCACATACCGTATCCTCACATAAACCCAGGTTCCAACCTGCTGACTTGCTCTGTACCTCACACACCTTGAGATTTACACAGTTCTTCTTGTTGAAGAGCTATCCTTACATATACACAGCTCTTTGTGTTGCTGAGGCTGGGCCCCTCTTCACATACTGCATCCACCCATCTTTCAAAACCCTGTGCAAATAATCCCCAATTCTCTGACACTATCGCTGTGCCTCCTCCTAGTGAAAGGAAAGCCATCTCTCGTCCTTCAGAACTTGTGTTTTACACTCTGTTCCTTATGTTTAACACTTTGTTTATAACCTGGTATTGCCACCACTTTCCTCTGTGAATGCTGGGCTATAAGTCATTGGCAATTGGAGACTTCATATATAGAGCAGTATTCTGTATATATCATAACTTAATCTGTAAGTTAATATAATAACTGTATATTCTGTATATATCATAACTTAATCTATAAGTTAAAAGCTCAGGCTGCTGAGCTACTCTACTCGTTGCCAGTCATCTTGTGCTCCTTCCTAGGAGGTAGGCTTGGTTGCTTTGTTAACTTCTCTCTCCCTTTTTTTAAAAAAAAATCTATAATATAGAGACATTTATATTTACAATATCTATAACTGCAAGGGTTATTTGTTTTTATTTGTAGAAAATGCAAAAGACTTTCTGGTACCAAGAGCTCTTGCTTTATTATTTTATGTGCCATTTTTGTGTGACTCTTATAGTATATATCATACAAGGCTCTGTATACATCAGGGGCTCAATAAATATGAAAATGGTAATGATGCTATTTGGTGATCTCCATTTCAATATACAGAAGCTCCCCAGAGGTCCTGGAAAGGAAATTTCTAAACCAAGTGGTGGTAAAATTTCAGGGCATCTCTTACACATTGGAAATTAAACTAATGCTATACTAAGAAAGCAGCCTGGCTGAACAGAAGGTTTCCTGGGTTACAGAAGTCAGGCCTGGCAAGTTATCATGTGAGCAGGGGACATGACTGGGTCAGTTTGGTCTTTGTCTACAACTGTAGGACTGAAGAATGACTTCAGTCTATTTGTGAAGTTCTTTTTTAAAAAATATTTTATTAGTTATTAATGGACCTTTTATTTATTTATTTATATTCTGTGCTGAGAATTGAACCCAGTGCCCCATACATGTGAGGCAAGTGCTCTACCACTGAGCTACAACTCCAGCCCTGTGAAGTTCTTTTATGAAGTTTTTGTTTGTTTGTTTTTTAAAGATTGCTGCCTTAAAGTCGAATGGAGATGTCAGGAAAGGTTGAAGGGAGTCACTTGCCACTGAGGAGATGAATTAGACAACCACGAATGTCTATAATTCTATGATTCTAGCATGCTGAGCGACTTTGGACAAGTTTCCCTGAACATATAAGTTAGAGCTTTCATAGCAGGTCCACTTTGAAGCTGCAAAGGGAAATGAGACCAAATGTGACTATGACAGGTAGAAAATGATAAAAAAATACTAGACTGGAAGTACCATCCCATGTAAAATCAGCCAGGGCACAAGGTGCCTACTGTTGATATTAGTCACATTACACTCTTTGTTCAAGAATTGTTGGTTCATTTTGGAAGAAAGCTACATGATTACACAGTTCACTGGGAAGATAATTAAGTCCCTTGTATCCTCTTTGTTTCATTACACTAGTTACTCCTGAGTGCATCCTTATGAGGCACAGGCAGGATCCTCTACATGGATCACAAAGCCACAGGTTCTAAGAGCCAGAGCTCTCCACTCCACTATGCTCAAGCCATTTCAGGGACAGAGCTGGGCCCAGGAATAAATGCATTAGGTTGTGGAAGGTGATCTGTAACCACAGGAGGCAATATATTACATCCAAGACCATCTGATTCTGCAGAGAAACCTGCCAGAAACCTTTAGGAGAAATATATATTCAAATATCATAGAAGCAAGAAGAGAGGTCTTAAAATACAGAATCATATTGACATACAAAATAAATCATGAAAGTGATCAATTATGTCTCAGTAAAATAATGTGTGTTCCTCAATATTTATATATTTCAGTTTAGTTTGTCTTCTGCTTTTATGAGCAGATGTACACTATGATGTAAAGATATGTTGTGGCAGAAGCTATTTTGCACATAACACAATACTGTTATAAAGAATGCAGAAGGCAAGACATACATTATTACCATTTAAAATCCTTTTAACCTTTTTAAAATCACTGATGCCAAGCTTTGGAAAAGCTCTGCTAGGATGAATGACAACTAAAAGAAGCCCACCTACAAAACTTATTCTCTAACTCCAAGGGTCAAGCTGTGCACCTAGACAAAGAGTGTTTTATAGACACTAAGCTCCATTGTCTGCCCACCTTGTGGTCTATTAGATACAGGAAACAAAGGAAAACCTCATGGTTCCCTGGTCTTTATTCAAAAAGGGTGGCTCTGTGAGCCAGTGATGGGGCACCAGGGACCACAGAATAAAGTACTCTGGGCAAAGCAGCTTGTGAGGTTCTTGAATCTTGAGTTTCTTCTTGACTTATTTTTTGAGATGATTTCAGATTACTTTTACAGCAAGAGATCTCAAAGTTGGCAATCCTGCTCTGCCTCCCATTTCTTGTACATTTACTGAGACTCTTGTTCCATCCCAGTTAGATTAGATCATTATCAGAGACAGGTGCTGAACTGAACTTAAAACCTCAGGCCTTATCCTGGCAGGATCCAGAAGTGTTGTTTGTTTCTACTTAGTAACCACACAGAAGTCTAGGCTACCCCTGTCATCTTAAGGCTTTTGCTACCAAACTAAATGGCATGTGCAATAAGACATGAAATCAGGACACAACAAAAGTAGCTATGTAGTCCTTGTCCCTGACATTAACTTCTGGACAGCAAGCTTTCTATTCCACAAACTTATTGAGCCCCAAATCCCCAGGGGACCTGAACCCAAGATCACAGTCTCATGAATCCTGTGAATTAATGGCAATAACTTTGACCAACTGACTACCTCACACTAGACCTCAGGATACACACACTATTGCTTCTGGAGACTAGGTTTTCAAAACCAAATCTTTTGAAAAGTATACTTGTGCAAGCTGAAGGGATAAAAGAAGCGAGGAAGAAGTCATTTAGCTGCATTTAGTTTTGAAAGATCTGCCACCTACTTCATAGGAGCACCTTCCAAGTCCCTCATTTTCTTTTAAGTTTCACCTCCTAGGTCATTTCATTTCCCTGGGATACCTCCTCCCAACTCACAGAATGTTCTCTCCCAAAGTATGACATTCCTCTTTCTGCTAAAGCCCCAACTAATTGTCGTTTTTATCCCCCCTCTTACATCTCCTATATTTCTAGAGGACAAAGACCACCCTTATCTCCCATGTCACCAATGTCTATAATGAGGGCACCAGAGTCAGTCTGATTTTTTTTTTTTTCTTTTTTGGTGCAGTGCTGGCAATTGAACCAAGGGTCTTGTGCATGCTAGGCAAGTGCTCTACCACTGAGTCACATCCCCAGCCCTTTACAGTCAGTCTGAATGAATGTGGTTTAAACCATACATATGAGATTATGCTTATATATATTTATGCTCTTTCTCCCTAAATAGGCTCGGGCTGGTCACGGCTTTTAGAGTCAGGGTGGAGTGCTTGAGAAGCAAAAGACCACCTATAAATTTGTGGGTTTGTTAAATAATCTTCAAAGTAGGGACTGCATTTATTAGCACAGATAAATCAGCTTTCTTTTCAGTATAACTGTCTCTCTCCATTCACATCCATATTTCCTGTGATCTCACTTCATAAGCTCCATTCAGCTTACCTGTCAAACAAAAATTGATCCAACTTAAGCCGACTTATATATTTGTATGGGAAAGAGGGAAACCTAATAATTGCTAGAACCTCTCCTCCCCTACCACTTAGTTCCATCATTTGTAGTACATGTGCACCTACTCAATGATTCTTTTAAAGGAACTCTTAGGCTCAATCTGATTCATGGTTCAGTACTAGTGTCTCCTACTATACTAGAATCAAACCTACCAAAAAATTCCTTAAGAAAATGACCTGAGGTGGATTCCATGATGTGCGAGGTACATAAACAAAGAGTATTCTTACTATGTAGAATGAGAAGCAAAATTAGGAACTGGGTGTGCAAATATACAAATATTATTTCATAATGTAAAGGAATTCATAATACTTTGTCTTTACATTAAACCTCAGACTATGAATATCCTCTAAATAATGAGACTGATGACATGGGGCCTTGGAGAACTCTCTCTTGGCACTATCGGTCTACCCATCTTCTCTGCATGGCCATGACATAAAGAAGACAGTACCTTCAGCAGGAGCTCTATAACTTCTGTGTGAACAAGTCCATGCACTGGCTCTCCATTGATGTGTGTGATCAGATCCCCAGCCTTTAGTCCTGCCTGGTATGCTGGACTTCCTTCTTCTACATTCTGAAGTTCAAGAGAAGAGAATGTTTGTGAGCAAACAAATGACAACCCTAACACCTACTGTTTGTTCTGGCAGAATATTTTGAGCAATTCACAAATGATACTAAGTTCCTACTAGGACATCAGAAAGGCATGTTTCCTATTGTGTCATTGTTCTGAAATAGGTTATTTTCCATTTCCTTTAAAAATTTTCAAGAGAATTGGGAATCTAATTTTAAAAAAACAACCCCAGGAAAGAAAAATGTAAGTAGGATAGAAATATGATAACCTTTTAGTATGTCTACTAGTTGATATATAAGAATGGACAATCAACTATGAAAACTGGACAGAATTAGGAGAAATTATTAATTTTTGCTAAATTCAGTTCCACCATACAGATAAAGGAAAAGAACATTAAAAGGAAAATGAAACAGGTTCCAAAGGCCAGGATAACAGAAAATAAGTTTTCTATTAACTTTGCTTCAGCCACTCCCCAATCTGACTGGAAGTGAAAACTGACAAGCAAGAGACGGTGGGTCTTACCCAAACGATATGGTGCACTGTATAGATGTCACTGTCTCCCACGTACACCCGGATGGCTCGGATGGTGAAACCATAGTTCTTCCCTGAACTGTGGATCACAATGGGCTGATGGGGACTCGCAGCAGCTGTTGAAGAAGAGTCTCGACTGGGAGAAGAATCTCGTGAAGAAGAAGGATCCGATGACAAGGAGTGGGGAGACATTGGACTTCCCAGTGGAGAGACAGCAAACATATCTGCAACAAAGAGCCAACCGTCAAAGCCAATCCCAGGCACACACACATCCCTGCAGTCAGCCTCCCCAAGGAGCTCTGTCAGGACAGGGAGCATGGCCACAAAATGAAACCCACTCATTTTCAACAGCAAAATAAAGAAACAGTGCAAAAATGTTTATATTGGTAAATGGATGAATTTTAAAACTGAAGCCTGTCAAAGAAACATCAGAGCTGCTTCTATTTTTAGCTAATGTTTCAATTAATGTTTAAAGTTATGATTTCTTAGTTCTCTAATTAAAAGAGAGATTAGCTACTTTCTGGCTATGATACTTTTCTTTAATATATTTTAATTAAGGAAAAAAATCACGGATGTGTGTATTTCAAGTATGTCCTAGTGCAGAGAAGGCAGTTTTTACTACAGTAAAAGAAACTAGACTCCAAATCTTACTCAAAACAATTTAATGTGGTCCTTTCCAAAAACCCATGACCAGGAAACCAAAGATCAACCTACCAACTTCTTTTTGCAATGTTATTGAACTAGTATTGATTAATGAATTTTAATAAAGAAAACACTAATGTGGCAACTTCTCCATAAAAGAATGACTCATTACTATGCTTACAGCTTGATTATCCTCATGTAGTACCTGCAAATAAAATAAGCTTTCCTCTAGGATAAGGCAGTACCTGCAAATAAAATAAGGTTTCCTCTAGGATAAGGCAGATGAGATAGAGAAATTTTATGAGCATCTCAGCTCATATTCCAAAACACCAGTTCTACTATTTTTAAGCAAACTGCTATGTTCCAAATGTATCTGTCCCCCTCCCCACCAAAATTCATATGTTAAAATTTAACCCTCAAAGTGATAGTACTAAGAGATGGGACGAGGCCCAGTGAGGTGGTGCATGCCTATAATTCCAGTAACTCAGGAGGCTGAGGTAGGAAGATCAAGAGTTTGAGGCCAGCCTCAGCAACTTAGTAAGACTCTGTCTCAAAATTAAAAAGAACTGAGATGTATCTCAGTGATAAAGCACCCCTGGTTCACTACCCGGTACCCACTCCCACACCCCCAAAAGTGGGAGGTTGATGAGATCATGAAGGTTCTGCCTCTCCTAAATGGGGTCAGTGCCCTTTTAAAGAGACCTGAGGGAACCTGCTTCCCTCTTCTGCCTGTGAGAATATCTGGCAGGTGCCCATCTATCAGGACAAGTCCTTGCTAGACACCATAGCTGCTGGTGACTTGATTTTTGGACATCCTAGCCTCTAGAGCTGTGAAGGATAGATTTGTTTTTTATAAATTACCAAGTCTATGAAATTTTGTTACAGTAGCTTGAACACACTGACACAAACTTTCAATTTATAGCTCATTATCACCATTTCATCAACATGAATCTAAACAGATATTAACTGGTCACGTGAAAGTGTGTGTGTGTGTGTGTGTGTGTGTGTGTGTGTGTGAGAGAGAGAGAGAGAGAGAGAGAGAGAGAAGGAGAAAAGAGCAACTTAAAGGGGGTGTTGAGTTTTAAATGTGAACGTTGTTGGCACCAGCCTACTGGCTGGTCTGCAGTACCACTGAGAGACTCACTGCTGGCCACAGTAAGCTGAAAGTTCCAAGTTTTATTTTGTCCAAAGAAGAACAAAGCTAAATGTATCACCACCTCTGTTCCTTCACTCTGACTTCATGAGGCATCCTGGTCCTCTTTGGGAGCTACTTTATGTCTAATCCAAAGGTCAGGTAAGGGGAGGTACAGTTGTGTGAAGGGAATTTCACAGTATATGAGTGAGAAGAAGACAGAGACAGACCCAACTGCAAAACAGCCAGGCCCCCAATCCTCTACCCCATTATGATCTCCCTTATCACCCCAGATTGAATAGTTTCCCTAAGTGCAAACCATCTCACCCACTTTTCAAATGTGGACAGAACCATATCAAACTTACCTTCCTGTTATGCAGCTGCACTTGGGCTACACCTCAGGCTAAGAAGGGTCATTGAGACTGGGAGAAAGGTGTCAGCCTTATGGTCTAAATGGGATGTCTCCCAGAAATGGAATCTGCTAGAGTGAGTCCTACTCCTCAAATGAGCATTTGTTTATATCCCATTTCTTTTGGCACAAATATGAAATTCTAAAAATGCAAACAATCCCTTTTATACAAGGCCTGCATTCTTCCAAACACAAGCCATCTGCAACATAAGTTAGTTCCCACTTCTTCTCTATGGCTGTCATATGAGTGATGTCACAACCACCAGAGTGGGTATTTCATCCCTGCCAGTGGAGTTACTATAGACTTGGTAGAGATAAAACCAGGTTGTGGAAAAATACTGCAATCCAATTAACCCATAATTTAGCCCAGTTTTCCAAAACAGGGCAGAGATTGATTTGACTACCAATAGGAGGGGGCATAGCTCAACTGACAGAATTGGGAAAACTTGTAATTTCAGTGCTGTGTGTGACGCTGTGCATCTTTAGAAATGAAAATCTTTCATTTTCTGTGTCTATTTCCTTATTAATTAAATGAGAAAAACTATACTTAGCTTTCCAAAACAGATGCTATAAACAGTTCTGTAAAGTGTATAAATGATATGCAGTGCAGAAAAGAAAAATCATTCCAGAAAGAGAAAAGAAAAGAAAGAAAGGAAGGCTTCCTATGAAGGAAGACCCTCTCATTCCCAGATGCAGAGAGTGAGATGAAACAGGCCGTGCATGCTGTTTGGGAGCCCCAGAGGTCCTGCAGGGGGGAATTCAGGGGTCCACAGGCAGGAACTCTGGAGAGCTGTCCTGGGACAACACCCCTTATTACTTCAAGCAATCTTGCATCTCAGATAGCATTCCAAGATGGGGGAAGGGGGAGCACATGCACAAATCACACAATTTCATGCGAATAGATGTCTCTCTACCTCCTGGGATCATGAGGGACAGAGCACTGGCAGAAAGGGACTTTGTGACTTTCCCCGAGATTTTCTTTTTTTCTGTGCTTTCTAATCGCTGCCGAGCCATGTGAGAGGCGGGTTCACTGGATGGCTTTGAGGAATTATCTGTACTGTCCACACACTCGCTTCGTCCATTTATCTGATCCAAGTGCTCTGAAAAACTGCCAACTGTACAAAGAGAAAGGAATAGGCACACTCAGGAAAATCCAGGACAGGAGAGATGGAGACGGCAAGAGAGAGAAGGAAGCACATACACTGGAAAACGCTCTCCCATGTGGCCCATGTCCAGACAGTGTCAGGCCAACACGAACAAAGCCTTCAGAAAGATAATGCTGAGAAGGAGACAGAAGAGGTGTCCTTTCAGGCTTTGTTCTCCTTCTACAAAAGTCTGACAAATTGTCATTTGGTGATTCCATTTAACTGGAGGAATAAATTACTTTCCATACTCTATTTTTCAGAACCCGTATGGAGATGACTGTTGTTCCTTCCTGGCCCCAATAAAAAGCCATGCTATGAACTGAGCACTACCTTAGGAGCACCAGGACTACACACTTCATACTCTGATACTAATGATCATCATCAATGTGGCTAATAATTTTGACACGGGCACACTGAATCACTCTATTTTGGCTCATAGCTGTTCACCTCTAACCATCTAGTATACACCTCAGTAGGCTCAGGTATGTCACCTACAGAAGAGTGGCAATAGCATCTCATTTGGCTTGTCCCATGGGAGCCTCCTTTTACTCTAAGCTCTTTGCAAATTTCAATGGACAAGACATAGGATATTACTGGCTACACTCCTCAGCGGCTCTCTCTCTTCCTGGCCCTTTATCTAGGAGGTGCGTCCTCCATTAACCTTCCCTGAAGTTAATTTCCATCCTCTCTAAGATACCCCTTACTTTATTAACCCTCAGTAAAAAACTAAAGTTGTTTATAAGTTAAAAAAATCAGAGGCCGGGTTTGTAGCTCAGTGGCAGAGCACTTGCCTAGCATCTGTGAGGCACTGGGTTCGATTCTCAGTACCACATATACATAAAATAAAGGTATACTGACAACTAAAAAAACATTTAAAATAAATCAGGACTACCCTCAAGAGAATATAAACATAAGGAGTGGACAGCAGTGGAGAATGAGAGAGGCCAACAGTACAGAAAGTTCTTAAGCACAAAGACATAAGTCCCTCTGGGACAAGCTGAGCACTGACTCATTTGTGTTTCTCCTATTCTTTATTACCCAGGTCATCAATTTTCTATTTCCTTTTTAAAAATCACTGATAGTACATTTTTGTCCATCTAAAAGAGGTAATGCTCATCTCATAAACTTATGAGACAGAAATATAGAATTTATATTAATAGAATCCATTAATTAATAGAATCTAAGCCCCCTGTGATTAAAAATTTTCAACTCCATCATCATTTTAGGAACTATAATCCATGCAGAGTATATACCGCCATTACAGATGCTGCTCCATTGAAAGATCAGCCAGCATGTTTTAAAGTGAGGACCACATGACATTCTTTGACCAGGAAGGTGTGGCCTGATTTGACATAGCTAATATTTCAATTATGATGCTGCATACACACTACTCAACTGTACAGTACTCATCTGGTCCTTGCTCCTGGAGGCGGTCTGGAGACAGCTCTGGTCTAAGCTAAGGAAGCCTGGGGCTTGAGAGGGTAGTGTGGGCATAGCATATTTCACGGCCATCTACTGCACTCCAAGTATAGGAAAAGGTTCATGGACTTCCATGGAGACCTCCTTTTTAATAAAATTTTTATTCTTTTTAGTTCTACATGACATGGAATATATCTTATTCTAATTAGAATCCTTATCCTGTGGACCTACATGATGTTGAGATTGACTATAGTGTAGTCACATATTTACATAGGAAAGTTACGTCGGATTCATTCCCCTGTCTTGAAGCACCCATCTTGGCCAACCAAAGAGGACAATCTTAAGGCAGGTATCAACAATGCTTTCATTCCTGTATGCTAAATGCATTCTCACTTAGCTGTGTATCTATCCCAGTCCCTTAAAGAAATGAGCTACTAGAAAGAAGGACTTGACAAAACTGCTTCACAGGTCAAAATTTCATCTCCTAAAACTTATGTTTACCTTTGGGTGAGTTACACATTTTCTCTCTCCTTCTAATTGGGTTTGGTTGGAATCACTGACAAGAAAAAAATGAAAAGCCCAATCTCTGGGTGCATTTGAGTACCACATCTACCATTGAGACTTGCTTTTCAAGAACTCAAATACCATGCTATCATAAAAAAAGAGAGAGAAAGAAACAGGTATAAAGTTGTGCGGAGTGTGGATATTCTATTCTCTCTTGTCTCTGCCACTTCATTTTGCAACACTGACTATAAGCATGTGCTTCCTTTCTGCCAATGGTAGATAATGTCACCTTAATGTTCTCTAAATGTCAAGGGTTCCTTCTTTTTGATGGTGGAGCAATATAAAAATCAACAAATTTAATTTTACTACAGTCACGGTTTTCAGGTTCTCTAATTACCCTTGGCTATAAGCAAATCAGCTCATCTCTCTACTCTGTACAACCCCCAAGGTCTTTGATTATTTTTAGTGTGTGTATGGGGGAGAGGGAAAAGAGAACGGTGGTTTGAATCTATTAATCAAAATGCATGACAGGACCTAAGCAGAATTTTTTTTAATTATGAAAGTAATCAATCAAATGCTTAGACACCGTTCCCCTCCCTTCACCTCCTGCCTTTCTGATAGAGGCTGAAGATGCCAAGAGAGAATAAATAATTCACTATGTGAAGAACAACATGGAGGTGAATGCGCTCTACTCAGGGCAAGATAGCTAAGGCCTTTGTAACCAGGATTATAAAATACCAATATATCTACATTTGATTTGAGCACCAAGATGAGCTCAAAATGGCCAAGAATTGAAGGGAAGTAGGTTGCCTCAACACTACTTTTACATTGCTATTCTCCTGGCTTTACAATTAGAATAGGTGCAATTATCCAACACAGAAACAACTGAGGTGAAAGGCAGTAAAAGAAAAACCAACCAACTCTACAATCAACTCTAAGCATATGCGAAATGCCACAGATACAAACTTTTTAGTGAAGCTGAAGTCAATCTAGCTGGTGAATTTTTTTTTTTTTTTGTGAGGGGGTGGGGATTAAAAAGAAAAAAAAAACTTACACTATGAATATTCAGTTAGTTAAAAAAATTGAGAAAAAAACTTGGAATAATTTATGGTTATCAAACTAGCATACTGAATATGACTTAATAAAAACATTTACTATAGCAACCATAAGCCATATTCACGTTTCATTTTTTTTGAAAAAGCATAAATGCACAAGATTTATAGAAATATATGCTGTGCATGAAATTTTTATAAAGCAAATGATATTTTAAATGCACCTCAAAGTCTTGTTGTGAGGGAAGTGCAAGTTTGGTTATCTAAGGGGAACACCTCTACTATTAAAAGTCAGCAAATACTTTAAACATCTATGGAGGCAAAATTACCAATGTCAGGAAGGTTGTTTCACATAAAAGAGCTGTCAAGGAAAAGGCTCAAACCCTTGACTGCCTCCCAAACAGGCAAACATGTCTTGGGAGTGTCTGGGAGGTACATTTTGTATGCAGTGGAGTTATTTCACATGCATGTAAGACACAAGTTGAAATTGGGTTGGTATTTCTGACTTTCTCTCCCTTCTCTCTCAATCTGAAACATTCTGGAAGGTGTCTGTGTGCCTCACACATAAGAATCTTGCTGCTCTAGTGTGAGTCTAATGTGCAGAGATAAGTTGTTTGCTGCAACGTGTCCCCTTACCAGAAGCCAACTCCTTCAAAGAAACTATCAATCAGCTCAATGCTGGAGGGAAACTGGCTTTTATACTGTCCCTTATGGGGATTCAAGACATTTTCAAGGGTAGTTCTGATGACTTGACTGTTGGATATTGTCCCTTGCTCAGAACTCTTGAGTTAGATGCTACTACACAAGCTGTTCCTTTGCTGAAAATATGCTCCTTTAGCAGGTTCTGCCTGTCTCCAGAGGGTCCCACGGAAGCAGCTGTGGAAGTAGAGCCTGGCTTTAAGGTTAAACTGTAGCTAGAACAGCTTGCTGTATGGCCAAGCACTGAGGCAGTCTCAAACAGCTGACCTGAGTTCTTGGGAGTTTGTCCTTCAAGCACAAGAAGGAGAGTCATGACAGGAATCTAAGAGTATAAAACTGCCACCCCCACTGCCTGGCTTGGCCAGCCCTGGGACTCACTTAGACTGGTGGATGAGAGTGGCAGGCAGCGACCAGAGGCTTACCTGACAGGGTGGAGCTGCTGATGGTGCTGGCTGGGGTGGTGACCTCAGGTTCCTCCTGAGCACACTCTTCAGGAGGAAGGGCTGGCTTCCCAGGCTCCTCATGAGGGTCTCCAGGACAGGGAGTGGCTTCATCTTGTTCTCCCTCTGCTGAAATTGCCAGTTTGGGAAGTAGACCAGAACTGAGTTTATGTCTGTTGCTTTCAGTATCTGAAGAGTTGGATGTCGATAACTGTTGCCTTAATTATAAACAAAAACAAAGTCAAATACACCAGGAAATTGTGTTAGAGGTAAATTTTGGAATGAATCATGTGGAAATGGAACTTGGACAAGCCTAATGAAGACATGTGTCATGTGGTGGTACTTAAGGTGTGTACCCAGAGCACCCCATTGGCATGTCCAGGGAACTTACTAGAAACACACAGGACCCATCCCAAGACCTTCTAGATCAGAGGCTCTGGGTTGGGCCCAGCCATCTGTGTTTAAGCAGGGCCCCAGGTGATTCTGATGTTTACTAGGGTTTAAGAACCATTGCCCTAACAGCCACTATTAAAAGAGTACTTAGGAGGCATCTCACATACACTTCAGAATATTCCGAACTCCAGCTTAACGTTTCCGTGGATGGCAAGGTTGTGCTTTTGGTTTTGTCCCCAGAGTCTTCTTTTTCTTCTCCTGAATTCTGAGTTATTCGATCTATACTGCTAAAGACCTGGAAGGAAAATAATCAGTGCCTGTTAATATCTTCTAGAAAGAGCTTGTCAAAAGCCAAAAACCAAAAAACCAAACAAACAAAAAACCCCAGAAGTCTTGGGAGGAAAAACTCAGAGTATGATTAAAGTGTGAACTGGGACCAGGTATTAGGAAAGCTCTTGTAAGGTTGTTTACTTGAATCCTGAGATGAAGTATCAAGAGTGTGTGTGTGTGTGTGTGTGTGTGTGTGTGTGTGTGTTTGGGGAGCTACAAATTCACTCCCCTCTCTCTCCATATCTCATGGACTTTGTATCTGCAAACAAAATACTTAGATGCATTGGGGTTTCTAAGTCCTCAGGATCAATACGCCGCCTCTTGGATTACTTTTTAACCATGAAGTCAATGAGAAAATAAAATAACAGAGAAAAAAATGGTATACTGGCTACTAGTCAGGGGTAGGAAAAAGAAAAATGAATTGGAATTGAGTGTGATGAGAAGAATAGATAATCTGTTTTGAGATTGGGTGGGGATGAGAAGATCACCTGGGAGGAGGGTTTCAGTACATACTTGGTGCTAAGAACCAGACTTATTTGTCTTATAAATCATATACACAGGCAGCTTCCTATGTTGCTACTGAGATTCCTGAAGAGGTTCAGGGGTTAGGCAAATCTAAGTTTCAGCCCATTTTTCTTCTCCTTGTTTTTTTTTTTTTTTTTTTCTTTTCCCAGTATTGGGGATTGAACCCAGGGCTTCACACAAGCCAGAAAAATATTTTGCCACTGAGCTATTCCTCCAGCTTTTCTTTTTTTTTTTTTTTTTTTAATTTTTTATTTTGAGACAGGGTTTTGGGAAATTTCCAAGGCTGGCTTGGAACTTAAGATCCTCCCCTGCCTCAGCCTCCTAAGTAGCTGGGATTATAGGCATGCATCATGGAGCCAAGTAATCTCAGCCCATTTTTTAATCTTTCCTGTAAAACAAGGGTGCTGGGAGCCCAGAGCTGGGAGCAAGCCCCACTGCCTCATATTTGGCTATTCTCATGGGTACCACTATGACACCGCTACAATCTACCAGGACACAGAGGAAAAGAATAGGCTTAGAGACAGGAGACAGGAAAAAGAAAAAACCTTCCAAGGCAAAGAAGTAAATAGTATTTGGAGTGGTCTTTGTGGGCCACAGAACAGATCAAGCTCTAAGCACTCATTTAGAGTTAGCAAAGCCTTTGTATTGGCTCTGGGACTGACTTGCCACCACCCTCTCTTGGGAAATCTCTCCCTCTGTCATTGCCACCACTACAGAGAGGGTAGTGCTGGCCAATTTGCAGGTACACTCTAGGTAATCATTTAGAAAAAGCTATAGAGCACGTCCAAATCATGAAATGCTACAAAAAAGCTAAACAATAATCATGTAAAGTGCCATGGCAACAGAAAATATGTAGCAACTGAAAGTGGCAAGAGAGAGACTCTGTAGGGTGGTGGGCAGGTCTATTTCCATTTTTTCCTAGGACCCTACCCTGTCTCAAAACTTGTTTTTGTTTTTTTTTTTAAAATATTAACACTGTTAGTAAAAAGGCATCTTTATATCAAGCATCTCCAAAATTCTAGCCTGATTCCTACTGCCTTTTCAATTTGACTTATAATCTCTACTCCTGGTAGGCATACTGGTAAGTCACACTGGGTAGACAGCCACAGAGATGAGTACTTGGGGCAAGTCTATGCCTCCAAAAGAACGTTTTTTAATTGGTGGGGAGAGAAAGATACTACCACACTAGGGTAGGGCCTGCTGACACCATCATGACAAGGTCATCTTCCCTAAACAAAAGGAATTTAAGTCCAGGAGACGTCAAACCCCAAAAGGGGCATGTGGTTCTCCGATTCAGTCCAGCTATATAGGGTCCCAAGTACTGGCCACAGGGAGCTTCTCCCAGAGACTGTATTTGATGCCCCATCTTACTTACTTTTGAAAACCTGTGTGAACATGAGGAGAACTGCCTTATCTCCACATTAAAATCTTCATCATTAGTATCATCTTCTTCTTCAGTTTCCATATGATGATACTTCTCTGACCGAGCTGTAGAGAAATGTTTAGGAACAGTTCCAATTACTCAAAATGTCTGCTTTCAATTTAGCTAATTATGAATCTTTGTATCAAAGCAACATTGTGTTTAAGAACTTGTAGGTATGAGATTGGAAGGCTCAATAACAGAGATGATTTTTTTTTTTTTTTACAAAATAAAGGCCAAACAGTGTCTTATGTCGGATAATACACATACTATCAAAATAACTTGTGTCATCCTCAGATTCCAGTTGGGGAATAAATTCTGCCTTCTGTCTCAGCAAACTGTTCCAGTCTAAAGAACGGAAGAAGCGATGCTGCTTGACTTCGTATGCACCACCTGGAAGAGAAGAGGGTGGAGACAGAGCAAAGTGGTAAACTATCCTCCAAGTCGAGGTCTTAACAGCTGAAACATTAACTGGCAGAGAAGTAAAGACATCATGGAAATCACACTTGTTCATTCTACAACCAAAACTCGAAAAAAAAAAAAAGTTCTATAATTTATCAGCAGGAGATCAGATTTTGCTAACAGCAGTGGCTATGGCAGTTTTTCTTTGTTAATTTTTCCATGACTTCTTCCATTTTTCAAAGGTTAATGACGTGGCCACTTAAAAACACATTATGCTGAACCTGGGGATGTGGACGCATGTTGGCCCAAAGCAGGCTTACTCATTACAAACCCAAAATTCTAACAAGGTGCAAAATGTGCTCACATCAATATTTCCTCTGGGGTAAGGTTAATAATGATGAATTTTTCCTAAATACTATATAATGGTTACCATTCAATTTTATTGGATTGCTCATTAACATATGTAGGCATTAGATTCTGTGGCTTAGATTCTTAAGTAAGGAACTTACAAACCTGTTTGATGGATTTATAATGCATTCAATAAAAATGAATCACGATTCCTAAGGTTTTTTTTTTTTTTTTTTGGGGGGGGGGTAGTATACCAGGGATTGAACTCAGGGGCACTCAACCACTGAGCCACATTCCCAGTCCTATTTTTTATTTTACTTAGAGACAGGGTCTCACTGAGTTGGCTTAGTGCCTTGCCACTGCTGAGGCTGGCTTTGAACTCGCGATCCTCCTGCCTCAGCCTCCCAAGCTGCTGGGATTACAGGCGAGCACCACTGCAACCAGCAATTCCTAAGTTTTAAGCTCCTTTTTGCCAAGTCAGCATGATAGCACAATGTGAGATATTTTTAATTCAGTTCATGATTTTCAATAGTGATTTTGAAATGCAGGCTCATATAATATACTAACACTATGACCATATCAAGAGAAGAGGGTACAAATTATAAAATCATAGCGCAGGAATCCAAACTGCCTCCAGCACACAAAGTTGATGAGAGATTTCTCAAAAGAGCAATACTAGGGTCTACTCAGACTCTCTGCCTCTAGTTGGAATATAAAAGCTTCTTCCTTGTGGAGTTGCACAGGCATCTCATCCTGTCCTCTGAGGGATACAAAAGAAACAGAATAGGAAATGGAAGTGGTATGGAAATTGGGCTGTGAGTCCCTTGAGAGAAGGGGTGCTGTGGCTCTGTCCTTCTAGCACAAGGCACAGTTTTGACTCTCGCTTGAAACCCGGGAAGGAGAAACCGGTGCTCCGGAAACAACTTCAGAGAGAGAAAAGTAAACCAATCGAAATCATCCCAAAGAGGGGAAAAGACCTTCTTCTTTAGAAAGCACTGGATTGGAATCTTCATCTGAGTTTCTATCCAGGTGTTTTCCATATTTCTAGCTACATCCTGAAATCTGAGGTTAATGACAGCAGCAAGCAATAGCATCAGTAGTTAATGTCTTGTGGGTCGACTTTGTGCCAAGTATTGCAATGCATTCTGTAGGTATCTTGTTTCCCTTAATTAAATCATTGGAAATAACCACACAAAGGAGGAATTATCAACTCCATTTTTAGATGGGAAAACTAAGGAAAAGCAACAAAGCACATTGGGCTGAGATCCCTTCCGAGGGTAAGGAGGAGGGGCTAAACCTAGCTCTGTCTGCAACACCCAGGGCAAGTCTCAGTGTCTCAGTCCCACCCACATAAGAGAAGGCTTGCATACGTTGCCTCCACACCACCACCTCTCCTGCCTCAATCTGAAACGGATTCACAAATTCCAGTACCTGGGAGCACAGCCAATTCATTCGACTGTTCTACAGTACCTCCTCACATCCCACTCCAGTCCCTTGTAACATTCTGGCTGTTATCTCACCCCAATCCATAGCTCCGAACAGCTGCCAGTGACATTTTCTTCTAGGGCTCTTTTACTTGGAGAAGCAGAATACAAAGTCATGAGGGCTTTTTCCCTATCCAACTCCCCTACTGTGTTGACAACAAGGGGTGAACAGAGTCAAGCCCTGATGACATGCATCTCTGCACTCTCAGCCCTGCCAGGCTTCTACTATACCATAATGACTAGCATTTCAGCTGCTGTTGGTGGGAATGTATCACTGGCACACCTCTGACATTCTGGGATGCTCTACTTCACCCAGAGAAACAGTGTATCCAAGGTCAACGGCTACATGGCACTTCCAGAACATACCAGTGCCCTGCCTACCACACTCTTGGACCCAAGCTGATGAAAACCTCCACTTCCTCTTTGGACTATGACAAACTGATCTTCCCCAGGGAATCAGTCCACTGAGGATCCAGTTCACATTTCTCATCCTTTGGCCTTTGAGCCTCCCTGAGAAGGAGTGGGTCCTGTTTCTCATACATTTATGGAGAGATGAGGAAGAAAAGAATTAAAGAAATAAACTGGGGGAAAATGATCTGCTAAACTGTTCGAAAAAGTATAGGTGATGGCTTTATGAGATATATGCAAATAACTCAAGCAATGGTAGCTCTCAATGTAAGAATTCACCATGAAGGGAAGAGAAGGGAAGTTATTTCTTGATTTCCTGTTATACATGAGTTCAATGTACTAGATATCCTCATGAACATTTTTCTATTTACAACTCACAATAATCCTATGAGGTGTAGAGTGTGCCCATTTTCATAGACTAGGAAACTAAGACTCAGAGCAATAAAGAAACTGCTTGAGATCTCATAGCTGGCACATGGGAACCACCGGCACTCAGTCATGTCTGAGCAACTCTGAGATCCAGTGAGCCAGGCTGCCACTCAATTCTCTGTGAGTTCAAGAGCATAGTTCAAGGAGGGCGAGGTCCCAGACTGCAAGTTATGCTTTGGCACCAATATTCTCTCTCGAGTTTTCTCTTTTCATGGAATTTTCTTAAACATCCATTATGTTCTTCACACCCTTTTTCTCAGCCTCTCTAGTCTCTCGGGCAAATGTGCATTCGCACATTTTCACGGTGCATTATTTTGCCCGTTAAATATGCATTAAATACAAAATGCTGTCATTGGAAGCTGCGTGGCAGGCCTGTAGGATCCTCAGCCTCATTCTCCAGGCCCTACTGGGACCTGTCATGTTGGACCTGCCTGATTGGCAATCACTTCTTGACAATGCAAAGAGCTTGGACAGGGTCTTTTCAGCGTCTCTTTTATGCTTTTGCTAGGGGATTTCTCCCTCAAGCTGTCAAAGATTAAAAAGACTGAAAGCAGCAACCAGAAAATGTGCAGAGAAATAGCTTGCAGCATATGATGTACATACGTGGGTATGCTGACCACCATCACAGCCCTGTCTTATTAAGTCAAGTCCAATCAAGAATCCAGGTATTCTTGGAGGAGGGAAAAGGGCAGAATATCAAATACAAAACTCTTTAAACTGATACTTGAACATTGGAGGAATAGGGACTCTTGAGTGTGCTTTAGAAAGGATGTGCCCACTGAAATATATTTGCAGTCAGATCTTAGGAGGATATTTCTCTAAGTCAGCTGAGCTGGACATCTGAATAGATATTTGTATTATCACAAAGAAATCTTAAAATGTCATTGCTTCTCATATTTGGTTTGAGTAAAACTCACTCCTCAAAACTGTGCCCCATACATAGTCTTGACACCAATTCTTTGATGGATACTGATGTCTCTTGAACCATAAAGCACATCTGACTGCAGGCCACAGAAGGTAGAAAATAATGACTTTGCTAGTTACTTTGGACAAATGGAAAAACAAATAGGGCAGGAGGAAATATAAAGTTGGAGTTCAGCGGACTCAAAGGTAGGGATGACACCACCTTGTATGTTTCATATGTGCAAAAGGAAAGCATGAATTCAATGACAAGCAAAAAATTCAAAGTGGCACCAGTAGTATTAGACCCAGTTCTAAGAGCCTTACCTGGATGACCACTTTTATCCTCATTTATCCTGTGAGGTGTTATTACTAAAACCTCCTTTTCACAGATGAGAAAACAATGAACAGAAAGGCAAGTAACTTGCCCATGGTCACAGAGTTGAGATTTAAACTTGGGTAATCTGACTCCAGAGCTTGTGCCCTTAACCTTGATTTACATTGTTTCCCAAGTTAAAGTCCACTCATCTACTGAAAAGAGCAGAGGCACCTGGAGCTCCAGTTAAAAGGCTCAGCTCAAAAAATTCCTATGAAGCCCTGATTTTAAACCTTCTTCAATTCTCTAATGTAGTTTTTGCAAATTTTCTGTGTAAAGGGCAAAGCAGTAAACATTTTAGTCTTTGTGGGCCACAGAGTCTGCTCATGATCACTTGATTCTGCCATTTTAGAATGAAAGCAGCTACAGAGAACATGTTGAATGAATGGCTTTGTTGTGCTTCAATAAAACTTTACTTACAAAAATAGGCAGTGGACCAAATTTGGTCTATAGGCTAAATAGTTTGCTAACCTCTATGTATTATCATAAACTTTAGCTACCCAGCATTCCAATCACAAGTCAATGGGAATCTGAGGGTGAATGTGGAGAATAGTATAAATATTTGGAACTATTGCAAATGATCTTTGTCTTAAAAAAATGGGGGAGAGATTTACTTTTTGTCTTTTTTGATATTTCTATTAAAATGTGGTAGATATGAAACATTTTCTAGTAAATAATCCATATCAAGCCAACCACTTATTCTGATGAAAATTATGGATACTGGCTAGCACATGTGCATTTAGATTTAATATTTTAGTCTCATAAGGCAAATGCACATGCTTAGGCAAACTGGGATCTCTAAAAGTCTGTCTATTCAGAATACATGGAAGAAAAGGAAGCAGAAAACTGACAGCAGAACAGTTAAGAAAAACAATCAGCAAGAAACAAACCTATCTACTTCATCTTGAATAGCTGTGGCTTTTAATCTCCTTGAATCATGGCGCTGATCACCATGATATGACAGCATGGTTCAACCCCAGGCCCTGTTTCCAATAATTAGTTTGAGTACTGATAACCCCTTTCAAAGCCTGTGGATAGCAACCTGCTGGGTCAAATCTTTATGTGAATATATATTTTTTAAAAAAGTTCCACATATCTAATTCTCTATTTCAAATTACTTAAGATGTATGCTTTTTAGGACAGAAGAGTTGCATATGCCCTTGAGATTTACTTATTGAAACAAATAAGAATTTATGTTTTGCAAAACATGAAAACAAAACAAGAAAAAAATGACCCTAATGATGCTACACTGGTCTTAATCAGAAAACAAAATGCCAAACAATGTTGCTATAATGTAGTCATGTAACACATCAACTAACAGATGTTGCCTATACAAAAGCAAAACACAAAGGCCTCAGATTGATTCACAAATGCATTATTTCTTGCATATTGACAAAAATCAAAACACATGAGCTCTAACCTGTACCCAGCCTTTCCAGAGGATTCTGCCTGAGAAGCAGAGTGATTAGATCCTGGGCATCTGGTGGTGGGGCCTCATCCTTCTCAGGCCAATTGATTTCATCTGGAAAAAAGAAAAGTAGTTAATAACTATTTCTCAAAGAGTGGTCCAGGTCCCAACAGCATGGACTCACATACATATTTGCTGGAAATGCTCATCTCAGGCCCTGCTCCAGAGCTACTGAAAGGAGAATTGCATTTTAAAATCTTTGGTTAACTCCTCTACAGAGTCAACTGCGAGCAGCATTATTTTACAAGAAACAAATAGCACAGCTTTCCACACGATATGATGAAACTATTTCAATAAGCAGTATCTTTGGCAGAATTGGCTCCCACAAGTTGTGCCCTCTGGTTATTAAGAGGACTCAAATATGAAAAATTGTGGTATATATGTGTATTAAGAATTGTAATGCAAAAAAAAAAAAAGAGGACTCAATATTAAAAAAACCTCCAAAATGCCTGTGCTTCACATGCCCACCTACTGGGGATCATCCAAAAGTATGATTTTCTCTCTTACTATCCTCAACTAAAAATTTGGCCACAACCACAGAGCTCTTTGATTCCAAGATGCAAAAAGTTATCTTGCAAAAAATATTTATAGAGACAAAGGAAAGGTCAAAATACTAAGACTGAAGAACAAGAGTAATACCCAAAGTAATCTTAATAATGGAAGTGTTTAAAATCTGTCATAAATATTAGAATATGTTCTCACTCTAAAGGAGTTTGCCTGAAGATAGGTGTGTGTGCCTGTGCGTATGTTAATGCAATAAAAACATGAGTTATTTCTGTGTGTGCCTGCCTCTAGCTTCCTCTGCTGCGGTTTAAATCTGATTTGGAAAATAAAACATGAATATGCATCTGAGCCGTAAGGCATCAAGAACAAAGCCAGCATTTGCTGCTTGTGTTAATTAAACAGTTGATTCCCCTTGCCACTCAGGCCTTGGTATGTCAGAAAACAGTCTAGTTATAAATCCATAAATAGCTCAGACATTGTATAAAGGAGTTGTACACTGCAGGCAACTCACAAATCTACTTTGTTAAAGTTTACAAATATGCCTGGCTTGCAAAGTCAATGTTAGAAAATATTGTTGTGATTAAGGGGCTCCTCATCTGCAAAGTAAATTTTTCCCATATTTCCATTGCTGGCCTATGTAAACACAGTCCAAAAAAGACTGGAGGTGGCTGATAGAGATGTCAGTGATGCCTGACAAACTTCCAGGAAGAGAGGTCTTTTTGATCTATGCTTTGGGAAAATGTATAATATCAGCAGGTAGGGTAGTGATAGATCCTATTTAATTATAATTTAGCTTTGCCACAAGCCGCATAACAATAGTGAGGGTCAGCTTACAGGCTAAGATCTAAAGGTTATTGAATTTTAAATGAAAGATGAACAGCTGTTGCAGAAATAACATTACACCATAACAACTACCAATGAAATCATTAACAATCTGTGGATTCAATTTGCTTCCTTCCCATTCTCATTATTTATTATTTGGTAGATATTTGTTTTGGGGTTTATTACATTTTTGTTAATTTCTTCATTGTGCCATTAGCCATTTTTTTCCCATTTATGTAAATGGTATCCGCATTAACCTTTCCTTCCCTGGTGCAAGTTTTCTATTATGGAAAGGAAGACCAGATGATATTTAAACCATTTGTAAATCCCACACCAATTTCTTAGGTTAAAAGAAAAAAAAAAAAAAAAAAAGAAAAAAGGCACACAATAAAAGTTGGGTACATCACTAGCACATTTTCAAATTCCATGTTAACAAAACTTTCTCAGATCAGTTTTCAACACATACTACTCTCTCGAGATTACAAAAGTCAGTTATGTGCTATGACGAACAAGTTCTTTTAATTTGTTGGCTCAACTGTTTGATAAAGGTTAATATTTTAGTAGTAAAAACTGTGGCACTTTACACATTTACATTGAATAGTTGCTTCCCAATAGTGACTTAAAGATAACTCCTGATGATATTTACCACTGATGACTTGTCCAAATAGCTCTTCTGGAGTATCCCCAAAGAATGGCACACATCCAACCAGAAATTCATAGAGGATTATCCCCATGGCCCACCAGTCCACTGGCTTCCCATAGCCCTGCCTCAGAATCACTTCTGGGGCGATGTATTCAGGTGTGCCACAGACCTGAAAGATTATTGCAATATTAGGATAACTGGAATATTAGACACGAATTAAAATGAACAAGATGACTATGAATTGTTTTGTCTAGAGTGTACCAGCTTAGCTACATGGAAACATATGGACTAAGACCTTAAAAATAGCAATCATGACACTAAGGCAAATTATCACTTTAATCCAAAGAAGAATAGTTTAAAATTCTACTTGAATTCAGTTTCAAATTGAGAATCTGACCCTGTTTGGTCATTTTACCAAATTAAAAACATTTCCAATCCTTAAATCAAAATAGCAATGCATTTTTAATCTGTCATAATCAGGGAGAGTTTTAATACTTGTAACTCTGAACTGATTCATACCATGGTATTTCATAAAGGCATGATGGTTGAGATGTGTTTACCTTAAGTAACTTTACAATGAACAGATTGTGGGCACTTGGTAATGAGGCATGCTTAAAGGGAAATGGGCCATGGCTTGGATTTTAGAACCCGTGATTGTACAATGCATCATGAGTTTCAAGAGTACTCTACTGAGACTCCTGAATTCCTTACAAAAACAGTTTTCCATTTGTCTCTCTCATACTCTCACTTGTGTGCAATTAGATCATTCGTCTTGCTAATAGACCATAATGCTGGGGGAGGAATTGTGGAAGGAGCGGACAGTTCAAAGAGGCCCAGGGAGACAAATGGGAGCAATTTGCACTTTATTAAATGTAAGGCTTATACAGACATCTAAACCAGCAGCACTAATGTGAAGACAGTATACACAAGCAGATTTCATTTTTACCGTACTTTATATTTCTCCACTGCATGGAATAGCATGTGAGCTTACCTGTTTATCCAGGAACTCTCGAGCATCCTTCTCAATATGACCCTCATAAAGATTGGTAGTCATGCTCATTAGTCCCACCTTAGATAAACCAAAATCTGTCAGCTTTATGTGCCCCATGGAGGTGACCAACAAGCTATGAAGCAAAAGGACAGAGAGAACAACAATCACTTTGAAGCTGTTTCCGTGCTTTTAGTTTCCCTTATTCCCTCATCAATTTGTAAGACTCTCACATATGTATCAGTATAAACATTATTATCTAACCTGGCCTGGAAAGAGACGTAGTCACATAAAGCTGTCAAATACTTGCCCCTAGTGGCAGAGAACAATTCACAGGGGGGGGGCCCAAGACAAGGCAAACCTGATAATCTACTTGGAGGACAGTTTTTACCACACTGTGAAACTTAGACAAATTCAACTATGGAAGTTTGACTCCTTTCCAGTTTCAGAATAAGAGAGTAGAAAGGGCTATCAGTAATTTTATATCATACATCAGGAATTAAGATAAGCAACTCATCTGTGATTCAAGTGAAACAGATTAAAAACACTTGGATGGAAAAATGTATTGTTTCAGATTTCCACTTCCAGCTCTTATTTAAATTTGTACTCATTAACCACAAAACCTATATTTCTTATTTTACATGCAAGGAATTTGCAATTGAATATATTTAAAATTTTTAATTTTAATTCAAAAGAAAATATTTAAATAGTATATATAGTATTAAATAAACAAATCACTAAAGGAATAAAAGAATTAAAAAAACTACTGGAAGGAAATATAGCAAAATTCTAATTGTTTTATTTGGTAATACTATGCTAAAATTTTTTCTTCTTTTTTCCTCTGTGTTTTCCAAATTTTCTGGAATGAGGATGAGTCCATTTTATCATAATTTTTTCAAAACAATACCTTTTTAACATGTAATTTTTTTAATCATTTCAATCAGTGAAGAAAACATGAAATATTTAATAAATAGCATCAAGATGAATAGGTAGTTATTTGGGGAAAATACTCTATTTCAAATCAGATACCAAAATGAATTTCACATAAATTAAAAATTAATAAACAAAGTTTAAGTAAAATGGAATATCAAGTAAATTATTTTAAAATGGGATGGATTACCTAAGTATGATATCAAATGCAGAAACTATCATGATAGTTTCTTTCAAAAGTTTACATCACAAAGAAAAAAACTTTAAAAAAATTCACTCTGGGTTTAATCTTTTCCTCCTCTCTCTCATAAGTTATTATTATAATGCTGGCATTATAGCTTTTAAAAATTACATAAAATCGCCACATATGCTGTTAAAATAACTCAGTTTGAACATTATGGAGGAATTTAAAAATGTACAAGTAGCATTAAAACATTTTGTACACATTAGAAAACAATTGATATTTGTAAAAGGACATGTGTTTCATCAGTGTACATACTTATCTGGTTTCAAATCCCTGTGTACAATCCCATAATTATGTAGATATTCCAAGGCCAAGACAGTCTCAGCAAAGTACATCCTGGCCATATCAACAGGGAGAGGACCCATGTTTTTCATTAAGGTAGCACAGTCTCCCCCTATTAAACAAAGGGAAAAGATTTAGTAGGTACAGTGTCAACTAGGATTAACAAAGACCAACCTTTTCTTTAGCTTTCAGAATTTCAAAGCAGAACCACATTTGTAAGACATCCCATTCATAGTGGAGACTGTGTAAAGTAATCATGTTCTTAATTAAGAAGTGGAAAAAATAAAGATTTAAGATGCAGGATTTAACAGAGCAGGCTTGGCTATGAAGTAAAACTGTATTTTGAAGAACTGCTAGCATGACGTCAGGATTATGGTAACAATTTAAAATGTCAGTGTAAAACATGGATTTTGGAAATGGGCTACATGAGTCTTAATTCTAACTCTGCTCTTAAGGTTGAGCTCTTAAGCAAACCAGTCAGGGTAGTCTTGATTCCTTCATCTACAACATCAGGATAGTAATAGGGTGGAATTTTTATGAGGATTGCAACAATCTAATAATCTGGGATACTGCCCAACAATATTAGTTATTGTTGTTGTTAAAATAACCACAACAATGGTTAAGAAAGCAAAGCACTGGTGCTGGAGAGGGTGATGGATGGAAGTCAGGCAAGCCTGGCTTTTGTCCTCAAGCACTCAGTATCCAGTAGTCTCCCTTTCTTGGACTTTGTTTCATTCACCTGCAAAATGAAAAGGTTTAGCTAAAGGACATTCACTGTTTCCTTGAGTTTTATAGTTTTGCTAATCTGTTCAAACAACAAGGGCTTAAACTCGATGCTCTGAAAATTGTTGTGGCCTTTACTGATCTATTCATTTTATTCACTTTATGTCAACAAGTCATGGCCACTCAAGATCTCAGAAATTTAATGGGGGAAAAGATGGAAATAAGGATATTTAGAGTATTTAAAAGGCAGACCACAAACCACTTTTAGAAGGAAGAAAAAAAGCTGAAACTCAGGAAGACTGGCTGGATTTTCCTGGCTGTCTCTCTTTTCTCCTAACTCATTTTTAATTTCACAACATATCCTGAAGAAGATATACTTTTAATTCATTTAAGAAGAACAATAGTAATGAACACTTTTGTGATGTGTGATAAAAATACATGGGAAAAATCCCATGGCCTATATTCACACTTTAATGACCAACTGAGGGGAGGTAGTTAAGATTGAAAGCTATTTAAAAAGAAAAACAACCTTTTTCCAAATAGCACTAATTTTCCCATTGTTATAGTAGAGGAGGCACTTTACAAGCAATTATCAGAAGATAATGACTGGGAATACAGCCATCTCATTGCCTGGCTTCAGTTCCTACGGGCTATAACTGTTATGCAGCACAAACACAGCTTCCACAACACAAATGAAGGAGGGACTCCTGGGTACAGGTGCCGTTTCTCTGAGACAGATTTACCTTCCACGTATTCCATGACCATGCACAAGTGGCGCCTTGTTTCAAAGGAGCAATACATGCTCACAACAAAGGGGTTTTCTGCAAAGGTTAGGATGTCACGTTCCACAAAGGCCTGCTGGATCTGGTTTCGAAGGATGAGGTTCTGTTTATTAATCTTCTTCATGGCAAACCTCTGCCGGGACTCCTTATGTCGAACAAAGTAGACTGCCCTAAAAAGGACCACAAGTGTTGGAGTTCACAGGAAGAAAGAAGGTAAGGACATCTTAGGGATCCACTAAGCCTGCAATCATTGACTTAAGTTCATTCAGCTCTATACATATACTATACTGGAAACTGGGAACATCCCCAAATTCCAGGACCCATCCCTTGGCTAGATTTATTTTTTTTTCTAAATTTTTTTTTCAATAAAGGTCATATATACAGCATTAAATTCACTGTCATTACTGAAAAAAGGAGCTGGGCAGTCCCCAGAGGGAGCCAATTTACAAAAGCTAGCTGATGTTTTCAGTTTTTCCACAAACAAAACAAAATCCAATATCTAAGTTAGAACTGGGAAGAATTAACAAAATTACATATAGATCACAAACTAGATACTTTCTAGCATTAGACATATGTTAGGCACTTTTGCTTGACTAAAGCAATAATTTTCTAAATAATACCCTTGGGATCTGCAAAAAGGACCATAGCTTCTGAGAGTATCTGGTTTCCAATTGAGAGTAATTTACTTCCCACAAAATTTCCAGATAAATAAGTGGGTAAGAGGTTATATGAGGCCGTTCTGTGACAAAGGGTAGCATATTTTCTTACTATGGACATCAGCATATGCTACCCATAAGTCTGTTTCAACAGAAAATGCATGTTTTTAACAGAACCATGGACAGCCAGGTAACTTCGTTCCTGCTCCCTCTAATCCCTGGCCAGGGTGTTAGGAAACTTGACTGTACAATGACCAGACCAGTCTGCACTTGAAATCTGCCTGAACTCTAATCCCAATGCTCTCTACAGCAAGACAGTGACCTCTTGGAAATAAGGTAGAGAAGGAAATAATTAGGAGGAGGAGGAGCCTTAGAGCCCCATCAGGATAAGAGTAGCAACAAGGACCATGTCCTGACTGGGCTCCATTCCTCACGACTTTTCCCTTGCTTGCCATCATCACTAGAGCACAGCTTTAAATTCTTCAGGAAGGCAGTGATCAAATAGACAATTGACTTACAGTTATCAACTTTTAGAAGGTGTATAATGAGTTACATCCTGCGACCAAATGCAGTTATCAAATAAGAAATAGTTTACAAAAAAAGGCTATTAATCAGTAAAGAATATCTTGTGGCAATCCTTCCAAAACAAGAGGTTATATGATCTGAGATGCTCTGAACACTGTTATTCACTGTGCCTAAACAATGACTGCAAGGAGGACCAGGGCGTCCTGGGCCCTGCTGAACCACTATTATCCAGCTGAATCACTAGTGTAATTCTCAAGTATATTCAAAAGCCCAGTTTAATTAACGTAACATCTTTCTTGTACATGTTCAGCATTAGTTTTTCTTTCAAGTATATATCTCTTTGTCTTTTCATTGTATTCATTTTTTTTCCTCTGCTCCCAAAATCACTTATTTATGTCATCTGTCTCTAAGCATTTGGAAGGGCTTTCTTTATTCCTCTTATTCCCCTCTCTCTCCATTTCTTGGGTTTCTAGTTTTTCCTTTACTGTGGAATAAAAATCTCTCTTAACTGCCCTCCACAGAATCAACACACTGAATAAACCTGGTGCTGGTTATTCCCATTCTAAACAAAAGTAATGTGGGATCCATCCCCCTGGGCGTCCATTACTTTCCTCAGGGACTAGCAATCCTTCCAGCATGTGCAAACCAAACACCCCTGCTCCCCCAGGCTGGGTCTATACATCCCATCCCATCCTGTTTGCTGGCTGGACTTGATATCAAAACTAACTAACTTAAATATTTAAACCAGTGTAATGTGATGTGACAATAAGAAGCTCTGTTTTTTATATATATATAGAAATGTTTTAGAAAGTTTTGACACAAATTACTATATAAAATTCCTATTGATTTATAGGAGGTGAGATTTCCAAAAATTGAAAACATCATAAGCATCTAGACTGCTACATTCAGAATGATTCAAGTTCTTGTACTTAAAAAGAAGCTAAAATTTGGGGCTGGGATTGTGGCTCAGTGGTAGAGCGCTTGTCTAGCATGTGTGAGGCATTGGGTTTGATTCTCAGTACTGCATATAAATAGATAAAATAAAATTCCACTGACAACTAAAAAATATTTTTTAAAAAAGAAGCTATAATTTGGGGCTGGGGTTGTGGCTCAGTGGTACAGCATTTGCCTAGCACATGTGAGGTGCTGGGTTTGATCCTCAGCACCACATAAAAATAAATAAATAAAATAAAGATGTTTTGTCCAATTACATCTAATATATATATATATGATTTGAAACTTGGCTGTTTTGAGAAGTCTGGCATCTAAAGACCAGTAAATTCATATGTATTTCGGTTAAATTAAAATGTTTAAGGTACATTTTTAAAAGAACTTTCTACTTTAACCAACTTTTTAATGAACTTAACTAACTAGTAATTCTCTGTGCATCAGATAAAGGGACTTTACTGTATTTTTCTTTTTCCAATTTCCAATTAGATAAAATCAGAAGTCTATAGATAATTTAAGCTGCTTCTAATCTGATGATGGTAGAAGGATTTCAAGACAGATCACAAAGGAGTAGAGAAATTAACTAGCTCATTGCTTAAATATAAGCACTGAGAAACAAATAATTGTCATGAAAAGGGATTTCTGAAATAGGGAATATACTTTTAAAGTAAAATTAAGAATGCAAAATGTTAAAAAGGAAAAGCCAGTACCTTTCTATTGTTTGCCTCTTTCTAAGTGTTAATTAGAATGCACTTGGTTTTCTACTTCTTCCTTTAATAGACCCCTAGATATATATTCTGATTTTCACATTTAGACTATCACAAGGTAGCCATTCTTATTTTTAATCAAGGATCACCAAATCTTACATAAATAGTTGTTCTGCAATATTTTCTAAGAACAATAGGAAGGACAGGAAGAATGGAATTGTATAGGACTGCATGAAAAAAATAAGATGCCCCAGGCCCAAGTTGACTAGGATCTTGACTAGCTCTCTTTGTGGTACTGTATAAGTAGTGCTTTAATCTGTAGTTTCAGATTTTCGATTTATAAAATTTGATTTGACTGTCAATCTGTAGTCTCAGGTTTTCAGTTCATAAAATTAGGAGGTTGGCAAGACCTCCAAATTAGAATTTGCTATAACTGGTTTTTTTGGTATGTTTTATGTTCTTGGTTTTTTCCTTTGTACTCCTTTGGGAATGTTATTCTTCATGCTAGAATTTGTTTAATTGGTAATAATTGTTTTCTTTCACATACACCTTTCCTCCTATAGGTCAAAGTTCTAGACCTACCTGAGCCATTAAAGAGTAAGAGATTGAAAAAGAGAGGAGAGAGCAGGAGAGAGCAAGAAACAGAGAGGGACAGCAGACAGCAAACTACCTAATGCCTGAACATTACACCGAGCAGATATGGCTTCATGTTTCTCTGTTTCCTGTCCCTAGGGGTTGTTTTGTTTGAAAAGGCTTCTTCCACCAACATCCTTGTGAAATAGCAAAATCCAAGGGAGGGAGATGATGTGGAGTGGAAGGGAAACCAGGGACTCCTGTTCTCAGGAGTCAAGCTTCTCTCTATCCAGGCAGGACGGGGGTGTAAAATGGGGTAGAGAGAAATGGACTCTGAAGCTGACAGGACCTAGAGCCAAATGAATGCATCCTATTTGGAGTGTGAATGTCCTAATGTGTATAAAATTATACATGGATCAGAGAGCCCACTATATGAGACTGGGTCTGTGAATCTGCTTGTGGGAATGAGGGGGCAAGTGTTAGAGGAAAGCAGTGAGGAAAGGCAAGGGGGAGTGTGCAGCAGAGGGACATGGGTCAGCTTGCACACGTGTCTCCCTGGTAAACATCCTGGCCCCAAATAATGACGTAACGGGCATCAAGGTTAGAAAGAAAGGCAAAGCGGTGAAGAAATGCAGTGCCTTTTAAATTTAGTGTTTTCTCTTTTGAATCAATTTTATTCTTTCTTTTTCAAAACATTTTGAAGTTATAACTTAAAAATCCAGGACGTACTTGATAGAAGGAGGAGGACCCACTATACCCCAGTTAAGATAGCTAAAAGTTTCAACAAAAGATAATTAAGGGAGAGTCCTGCTCGGAATGCCAGGCTATGTGACCATGTCTCTGAGCCTCTCTTTCCCCACATTCAAGTGGAAATAAGATCAACTGCCACCTGAGGCTCTGGTGAGGAGAGCACATAGATTTAAAAACAAAAACAAACAAACAAACAAAAAAAACTAATACTGTGCCTGGCACACAAACATGGGCCTCTACAAAGTGCTAAGCTGCACAAAGGGATGCTTTACCTCGAGCCAAGTATAAGAAACATGTTAAATAGAGGAAAAAAATGAGATGTTATCAAATTTGAATTATCATACACATGGTCACCAGGTATGCCAGGAAAACCATGATGTGTGTTTAGCATGAAAAGCAGAAGCCCCTTCCTAATGAGATGTTGGTTCCCAGTACCACTGATTTTTGAGAAGCCAGGAAACCAATGGCCTTCTGAGCCACTGATGTGAGTGGTGAAACAATTCACAGAAAACTAAGATAGCCTCTTAAAGCCCAGGTCTCCCAGCTGTGCAGGAATCCATTTGTTCAACCAGTTCACATCAGCCTGCAGTCCGCATCATGACTGGCTGAACTGATAGAAGTAGCGCCATTCAAATTTCAAATTAAAAATAATCAAAACATAGAGGAAACCTGTCAGAAATGTAATGAGAGATTAAATCTGAGAAAAGCAAAAGAGAAAAAAAAAATTTTGGCTGATTGGCTGAGGCGCCGACAGGCAGCTTGTAAGCCCATTAATGACTTGGCCTGCGTCCTGGGTGTTTACTGATTCACAGCTTGTTTAACTTCTTGTATATTCCCAGCCATTCCCTAAAGTGTGATATACCTCATCTACTATACAGTGGTTTAATTGCACTACAAATGAGTTTACTCAACCAATTAGAACTCCAAATACTGTTAAGATATATGCCCAAGTTTTACAAAAGCAGAGTTTCTTAGATCATTTTATTCCAGAATTCTACTACCAAGAGAATTTAGCAATTCTCAAGCCCATGTGCCCATTAAGTCAGTGAGCATACTTCTCCCTAAAGAAGGAAGATCTCCTCATCTCATGTCCAAAAGTATAAAGAACTGAAAATCAAATAGTAATAAACAAACAAAACCCATGAATGACTTCTTGCTAGGACAACACTGCTATGTAGAAAAGTTTCACTAGGGTCCTTAAAAAATATTGCAAAAATATAACACCAGAAAGCTTTTATGAGCCACATCAGGATATATGCCATTTGACATAATCCTGAAAACAAATTGGTGAAGCATAGAAAGATCTCACAAATATTTAAGTTCTTCACTGAGTTAATGGTGTGGAAAATATTAGAGGTGAAAAAAATAGTAGGGAGAAATATCCCTTGTGGCACAACAAAAATCGCTTTATCTCATCTGCTCTTATGTGTGATAAATGGCAATAAACGTCTCTGGGATTATTTATTGCTCTCCATATACAGATGGAATTGGGATTAATACTTAATTAAACTAGAATTCTCAGGCTGTCTAAAATGGATCAGGTTACTAATGTGCACTAATTGCCCTTCCAAACTATCACTAATTCAGAAGATCATGTGACCATTTACCTCCCCCCATGCCCTGGGCAGGAAATTGTGTGTCTATAAAAATGAATCGAGGAACTGGAAGAGAGAAATTCAAAGCTTCCCCCCACAAGGAAATGGTAAATGTTTAAGGAGATGGAAATGCATATGATCATTACATATGCAATGATGTATCACAGTGTACCCTACAAATGTGTACAATTATTTGTCAATTAAAAATTTATTGTAAAAAAATAAAACCTATTTTATATGTTATCAGAGGGTACAATAATAAAGGAAAAGAAAAGTGACAAGAATTTAATGTCTACTAGGGGACTAAAATGTATTATTCCAAAGCAAATCCTGTAGCACATTTGTGTCAATCTAGAAAATACATCTCTACCTTAAAGAAACAAAAGTGGATCGGGGAAGGAGCAGCACTAATGTGATTAGACTATAGGATAGGGTTCAATTCTTAAGATCCTGGTGTACTACAAAGATGAACAGAAATGTGTTGCTCTAAATTTTCAAAGTCTTATTTAAATACTTTCCTGACACAGCTGACTATTCTTCAGATAGAAATGCAGGCTAATTCTCAAGTTAACAGTGCTATATATAAAACTGTGTATGTGTGTGTGTGTGTGTGTGTGTGCACGTATACATACACATACAAGAACTGGGCATTTTGAACCCAAAAGGGGAGACTGAAGGAGTGGAAACAGGAATACATAAAACTTTTATTTTATAAAATTTTTCTCTTCAGCCCTCTAAAGAATCCCTAGGTCACTTGCTATGTTTTCTGTTGGGGTAATCAATAGAAAATGATTCTGGCTACACATCATACCCATGAAGGAAAGAGCCGAAATCTCAAGTATTACATCTACATGTGAGAGTAAATATATTAGTAGGGGGTGTTAAAATACAATAGCTTCTCTTGAATTACTCACCCATAGGCTCCATTACTAATCAATTTAATTGTTTCAAAATCACTTTCTCGAGGTTTCCTTCGAAGTTTCAGGGAAGCATTAGAGCTCTGTGGAACAAAGAAGGAAGTTAAGAAAATAGTTCAGAATTTGAGAAAATTATTTTAATGGCAAAACAGATAATAACTGAATTAATTCTGTGTTTTTCAGGGGCTGAAGTGCAGTATTCTAGCTAAAGGAACCTGGAACATCTCTAAAGATCAGTCTTCCCCAGAGGCACCCACCTTATAGGGGCTCAGTTGCTTTTAATCACACCCACATTTCCAAAAGAGAAAGGCACCAAGCTTTCTGAAAATTCCCCATTTTATTTTATTTATTTTCCCTCTATAAACTCTCCTCATCGTAACCTCATTCTAGTCTTAGGACATTTTGAGATTTAAGTCCAAAATACCAAACCTTCCTTCAGATTTCAGTGTGCCAGAAAAGAGGTCCCTGGGGCTGGTGGAGGACATGGCCTCTCTGACCCTCACTGGGGTGTGACCTTTTCATTGCTGTGGCAATCTTTCTTGTTTGGGAAAACTCTTAGGTGACAAACAGCACACCTAGGTGTAGAATGCCTGACTTTCTTTACCTCCATACCAGAAATCTGAGTTGGGTTAGATCCCAATGTTCTAAAATGACGGCTTTCTAAATGTTTAGCTCAAAGGAAAGGGTTAAACATGGTGCTTTTACAAAAACTCCTCTGTGCTCCATTTACCTAAGCAGGGAAAGGGTGTTACCAGCCTCTCTGCTGCTCTCTGCAGAGTCCAGAATCCACCCCACCTCCCCGGGTTGGAAAGTACCCACGACTCTGAAGTGTGTCCATTCTTCCCAGTCACTGCTGGTTTGCTGAGGCCATCAGTCATCCCCTCATCTTGGGAGGACTTGGGCGCCCAGCCTCCCACTCTCCTCTCTGCTCCAGTTCTCTCACCATCCTGAGTGGCTTCAGTGTCTAGGCAAGTAATACAACCAACCCCTGCCCTCAGGGTTACTTAACCTCCCCAGTTCAGCCATCTCTTTTCTCTACCTCCCGCTAGTGTCTGGCCACAGGACACCACCTGCCATTGTAGAAAACAATTTGAGACTGGGACCACACCCTGTTCAACCACTCCCACTATGGCTGCTTCTTCACAGTGGTGGGCCCTATACAAGGCCACCTAGTTCCATTAACTCCTCCCCACCCTAGAGAATTCCTTTATGTCCATGTTGTACTACTAAGTCACTTGAACGTCCACCAGAAGCTCTCCCTCCCAGTGCTAGAAGATAGCAGATATCCAATTGAGGGTTTGTTGGTTCTTCTTGGATGCTATCAAGGAACTCTAATCTCAATATATTCAAAATTATATGTTATGATGACAATAAAACAACTATCATTTATTTAGTACTTACTGTGTAATACTTTCCTAACCATTTTAATGGTATATCTCATTTAATCTTTCATAATCTCATCTTTTAAGATGGGAAAGCTTTAAAGATGGGGAAACAGAGACACAAAGAACCTTCCAGCCCACCCCAACACACACACACCTACTAAGAGGTAGAACCAGTTTTCAAATCCAGAACCTGGGTTCTCAGACCCCAGGCTACACAGCCTGTTTCTGCTTTCCTGATCATCCCAACCTGCTTCATCCTGCTTTCCCTGCTGGTGTTTATGATTGAGAAGAATGACACCAGCCACCAGGACTCCTGGCCACTGTAACCATCTCTTTTTTTTTTAATATTTATTTACTTTAATTGTAGTTTGACATAATACCTTTGTTTTATTTATTTATTTTTATGTGGTGCTGAGGACCGAACCCAAGGCCCTGCGTGTGCTAGTTGAGTGCTCTACCGCTGAGCCACAATCCCAGCCCCTGTACCCGTCTCATCTCTTAACAGACTTTCCCATGGTCACCCTGCTGCTCCCTACACCCCACTGCTTTCTTTGTATCAAGCCATGACTCTGATTGGGTCAGCTCCCTATTTATTCCTTCCACTTCCAAGTACAAACAACACTCCTCTAAAGCTCAGTCACTTCCCATTGTTCTTAAAAACAAAACAAAACAAAATTTAAACCTGACAAATGTGAGAAGTAGGGACCTGTGAGTCCAGGCTTCTCCCAGGCTCTCTGGTCTCCAAGGTCTCCCTTGCTCTTAGCCCTTAGATGGAACTTGCATCCAGATTGTGTCCACTGCCCCTTATATTAATAATTGCTTACATTTCAGCTCAAGTGCCACGTCCTCAGGAAATCTCTGGAGCATTCTAAATAAAGGCAAATCTCTTTATGGTATATTCTAGTAGACATGCTCTTTTTTGTCTCTGTAGATCTTATTTTATCAGTACTATCTTTTGTGTATGATTTCTTTTTGTAAATTTCTTTTTCTCTTAGAGGGGAAAACACTAAATTATCTGCCTATTATTGGACACAGTGTCTTCCTTGTAGAAGCACAATAAATATTTGTTGAACAAAGTAATTAACACAGTCAAAATCTCTAGATGCTAACAAACAGAAAAACCAACATATTTTGTCAAGAAAGATACTTACACCCACTGACTCATCTGTTTCTGGTGTTTCTGCTGTCCCACTATCGTAGTTCCCCAACTGAGCCATTTCTAAGTTCAAAAAAAAAGGGGTAAGAAAAATATTGCAATTAAACAAGTAAGCGTAATAAGCTAAAACAAAAGAAAACACTTTCTCCATTACAAAAGAAAAAGAAAAAATATATTATAATTGTGGGAAAAGTTTTATATCCAAAACAGCAAGAAGCAACAACTGAGATTTTTGAACGTGTAGGGCTTTTCACATCCTTCCCTGAAACCCATTTCTAATGAACACCTAGACATAGGAACTTTAAAGACTGGGCCTCTGCTGTAGCTGGCAGCATTCACTGGCTGATGCAATTAAGTCAGCTTGCAAAGGGTTTGGGGGTTAAAACTCTATAATCAGAGAACCAAGAGAGGTAAGTCTACACTGACTCTGAGAGGCATCTAAGGTACACTGACCGGCTAACAAGTCAGAAATGACTCAAGTTGTAGTGGGCATCCCTTCCTCCATTTCTTCACATTTACTGAGAGATATCTCACCAAATACACTAAGAATTTACAATTTTAAAATAAGAGTAAAGGTAGTGAGTGGTTAAAGGGATTTGGAGATAAAAAGACCTGGGTTTCCACCACTATTGGCACTTACCAGCCAAGTAAACTTATTTTATTTTATTTATTTTGTGTGTGTGTGTGTGTGTGTGTGTGTGTGTGTGTGTGTGTGACGGTGCTGAGGATTGAACCCAGGGCCTTAGTGCATGAGAGGCAAGCACTATACCAACTGAGCTATAACCCCAGCCCTACAAGTGACTTTTTAACGTCAGGGTTTTAACTTTCAAGGTTCTTCCCCTGAATGATGAGAATAATATTACTTATCTCTTGGCACTTTTATGACTATTATACACTACAATGCACTTAAGTCCCTTAGTATGTTGATTAACAAAAATTAAGTGCTCATTAAATGTTGAATGTTATTAATTATATTGTATAGAGTAGTTAATTCTGGGCTGAATGCCATAAGCTTGACACCAGCTTAAGTAATACTCTGGTGGTCTAGTTAAAAGTGACAACTGTATCTAATTGCTCAACACACCTTGGAATGCATCCTTGCGTTTATATAAGTAAATGAGAAAACCTAATTCATTTACTGTTCATTTTTATACTTAAAAAAGAACATGAAAGAATTTTCTTCAAAAGTTTTTTCTAATTTTTCAAAACTGAATATATGTAAAATAAAAAGTTCTAGTTTTTAGCTACAGATTTTTGCATGCGTCTAAAATTACTTCTTAGGCTCTTATTTCATGTGTTGATGTTCTCATAAGTACAATTATCCTCTGTGGGCAGTGATTACTCATAGGAGATATGAAGCAAAACAATATTGAAGTGTTAGTTTTAGATAAATATTTACAAACTCCAGATTCTAAAATAATTAGATTGATACTAACATTCCTAGTTTACTTATAAGGAAATTCTAAAAATAAAAATAAGGTTAGTATAAACTACATTTTGGTATCATTCAAATAATGAAAACATCCAATGTTCTAGTATCTTAGATATAAGGACTCTGATAGGAACGAAGACAGATTCCTCTTCAAGGAAAATTTAATATTGTTTCAATAAAACTATATTAGCCGTGGACACATATTAAATCATTACTATGTTAAGCAAATACAGGGATAACTCCTATCATTTTTAAAGAAACTCTCTGAGTAGGTACTCTTATATCCCATTTTTACTTTATGGAAGGAACTGAGGCACAAAGAGTTTCCTGAACTGTCCAGTGAGGGTCCTAGTCCACCTCTAAAACTCTCGCTCTTTACCTTTCCAAAACACACCTTTAGGTATGTTAGTTTAAATGTTGAAAATAAAGGGAAGCAAATATAGATTAGAGTTTGTGATCATGTACCAAAATTACCAGGAGAAGTCACACATTAAGTGTTAATAAACAGATTAAAAACTATCCTCAACCTGAATCAAGATGATGAACAAGTTTAAAAAAAAAAACTCCCAGTGATAAATTTATATTCCTAAACTCCAAAGGTGTCAAAGATCATCACTACTCTTTTAAAGCTTCTATTAAGATATGTAAGTGGGCATCAGTTAGTCCACATACTTAATTTCAGCTGACAGTGGTATTTCCTGTCAGATAAGAACACTGGGAAGAACTCCCTCTGTCTACAACACAAGAGCTGACGCAACCTTAACTACACCGGCGTGAAGAGTCACTATAATATGCTTTGACAGCCTCCCCCACTCCAATTATTTTCATAAAAAAACAAATTAAAAGATGGCTGTGTTTTAAATAGAATTTCTGCTAAATAACTATTATCTGGGAAATACATATTATTTGTAAGCAGTGGGTAGTAATGGAATGGAACCAAGAGTCAGCTTTTGAAGCAGGAAGCTGAGGCATCATTTTGTAATGCCTGAAGAGATTTTTAAAACTCATCTAAATACCATTAAACATCTGCCCTTTTTATTTCATTGATTTAAACCATTTCTGAAGACTCATGATTCAAAAAGGTAAAGATGGTAATTTAAAAGCCATGGGGGAAAATCTCTCCCCAGGGAACTTTTCAGAAAAGCAGCCACCAGTCTCTGATAAGTGATGAATCTGTTGTGGTATTGCTCTCAGTACAGTATAAATTTATCTGGCATTATCTCCTAGTAATGCATGCATCATTTCACTGGAAGCAAAGATACGATGGCCATAAGAGCAAACAAAGCAGGGAGAACAGGAGAGAGCAGGGCAGAGAGCAGCAGGCTCCCTGGCTTTAGACAGGAAAAGCTCTGTGCAGCATTTACCTCCATCATTTACCTCCACAAACAACTGAGAAGGACAAACGCTGTTCGCAAATTCAATTTAATGAACCAGGAAGATAATTTTGAATGGAGGAGACAATGTTAATTTATGAGTCTTTTTAGGCAGTAATAACCTAAGTGTTATAAATAACAATCCCAAACAATAATGGACAAAAGGTTGGAAGGGGGCGGGGGATTACCAATATTAGATTTTTGAAAAATCACTATCAGGATGCTTGCTATTCTCTGTATTTAACAGAATTATAACCTTTTTTTTTTATTTGAATCAACCATAAATCCATTTACAAGCTTCAGAAAATTTTCTTTATCATTGGCTCTCTTGTATATTACTACCTTTCATACTTTCTTGAGACAAATAAACAAAAATAGACCTACCAAAACTGGATTCAATTTAAAGCAATCTACCACCAGTTGTGTTACTCCCAAATTGAATTTAAATGTCAATTTTAAATGAATGATAATTAATTTCTGTAGCGACACTTTCAAAATTAAAAGTACTTTCAAGAAGAGCTCAACTGATCTTTGCAAGAGAAAAAGGACTCAGAGAAGATTAGAATCCAAACCCTTCTGGGACAGGCTGGCATTTCTAGGCTGACAGGCCTCTAGGATATCAAGCAAGGCTGGGCCCCACTCTCTTCATAACAAAATTAGAAGCATGCTTGCTTGCTCCTCAGGACCCAACTTAAAGCTGTTTCCTTCATTTTAGAACTCACCCCCCAAAGGGACTAATCAATAAACATAGCCAAAACAGAAAAAAAAAATAAAGACTTGCTGTGAAATTCTTCCATGAGGTCACAGGATAAAAACAAGTAAAAGATCAACTCAACCAAGAACTCACCTTCCAGAGGATCCTTATTGAGACCCAGCTGGCTGATGATGTACCTGGGGATGTCAGTTTTGATACCCTGTCCTTCTTTTGCATGGCCTTCTGCTGCTTCTAATAGGTAATAAAATTCTTCAGGATCAAATTCCTGGAGAAGACAAACACACAGAGATACTTCCTTGAGCCAAAATGGTCTGAGGTTTTACTATGTAAATCCCATTCACAATAAACTGCTGCACACACGTGGCTGTAGGTTATTCATACAGAAAGGAGGTAAATGGCTTTAAAAACTATATAATTCTCAATTCATATCTGAAGCCTATTCAGATTCTAAGTCAATACATGTGATACTTTGGCAACCCAAAGATAGTGATAATTTCTAATTTCTTTGTAATAGAAATTTGAAGGTACTCTACTGAAGATCTAGATCTCACAACAAAAGAATAATTCTGACCTTTTTTTTTTTAGCCAGGGTCTCACTATATTGGCCAGGCTGGTCTAGACTCTTATGATCCTCCTGCCTCAGCCTCCTAAATAGCTAAGACCACAGGTGCCCATCACTGTGATCCTCTAGATCTGGTTTTGTATCTATATGTGTGATGCTGGGGATCAATCCCAGGGCTTTAGGTCTGATTTTTATCTGTGCCTTTTTTAGCAAAGCTTTAGAACTGAGAATTTCATTCAGAAGATTCAGTTTCTTTCTCTGTACAAACACACACAAGGGAATAATGCTTAACTACATTGACTCAAAGATGGTGCAGGAGACTCCCTTAGTATAAAAATGTCCAAAAATATTAGAAGGAAAAACTTCAATGTTTTCTTTTTTATTAATTCTAAAACTTGCTAATAATAGTCATGCAATGCAAAGATTAAGGAAAAAAATAAGAAATTAAGGTGTTCAATTACCTGTCTTCTGTAATATTTTGGCAATATATTATTCTTACGTATTTTATTCCTTGGTCATCTGTTGCTTATATATAATAAAAATCTTCCAGATCACATCACTCTAAATAAATGCCCTAGATTGATGGGTTGTAAACAATGCTGTAAATCTGCTCACCGATTAAATGTATTTTAAAGTATTTTCAGTGACATCCCCTGAAAATTTTCCCCACAAGATTTTTCTCATTTTGATTAATGGACAAAAAAGGGGATTTTAGAACCTCAGTCTTTCATTTGACAATTACCTAAGTTTCTAAAGGCCATATATAAATGTTTGCTGCAAATGAAGTAAAGCCAAACAAGTGTCAATGTTCAGTGCCCTGTAAAGAAACTTACAATGACTTCTGGCAAGCCTAGGAACTGCAGGCATAGAATGGCAGGCTTGGAGAAACATCCCCTAATACTCTGAAGTGTCAGTTTCATCTGAGCTCTGTACTGTACTGAAAGCAACATTTCTGAAGCCACACTAAATCCACTTATTCCTTTCTTTAAGAGGTTGTACTTTCACTTTTTCTCTTCTGATTATCAGATATTATATAAAAAATTAATTTCCTTTTTTAAGGCATGATCTGGTCTTAGCATATCTGCTCCTGTCCAGATATGCTAAGTTTTAGTAATAACTGTCATTTTTTTCCCAAATATTATTGCAGATGGTGTATACTTCAAGAGCTACAACAGAAGAAGCAATAAAAAGTAAGAGTCCCTTCTATCTGTATCTGCCAATCACCAGTTCTCCTCCCCAGGAACATCATGATAGTTTTCCCCCTTTAGCCTTCTAGACATTCCATGTCAAATGGTGCATTTGATTCTGGGATCCTCAGGGTCCTGCCATTGATGAAAATCTCTACTCCCCACCTTTGTGTTTGAAATATCCCCTTGCTGTAGTTCATCAGGTACTATCATGAGTTTATGGGGCTATGATTATTTCAACATTGTAAAACACTGTGAATGTTAATTAAAATAAGGGTAAAACTAAAACACCACCATTATATATATATTAGTGCGTGCGTGCGTGTGTGTGTGTGTATGTGATGCATGTGCAATGCTGAAGCTCTCTTGTACATATGGAGTTATAATTACATTAATGGCTATGAGAACTTAACAGTGAATTTTGATCCTATATTAAGAGCCCATTAAAATAATTCTTATTGTCAAAGCTTGATATTTGTCTACAGTTTTGACTGAAACCTCTATCAAAATTTCATAAAACAAAAATTTTAAAAGAGAAAATGACCACTGATCAAAATGAGGTAGTTGCTAAAATGAATTAATCTCTAAAAGTCTCATTCCTTCAGATCTGGATAATGCCCTACTGTATTCTTTCAAATGGTTTGCTAACTGACACATATTTCTAACATGGAACATTTTTAAAACAAATAATAATTATAGCCACAGGTCACTTCTTAGTATACCTCTCACTTGCTCCTCTTTGAATCTAGGCAACTCCAAAAGCATGAAGCACAGCAAGCATTTTAAATTAGCTGTGACATAAAGTAATTATGCTGAGATAAAGTCAAGCACATTATTTCATGTTCATCCTTCAAGTTTGACCAGAATGTAATATGACTATTACTGAATACAGCACCAATCCTAGAATTCTTACTTAAAATATGAAAAGACAAGACACATAAGGATACCATCATGAACATTCACAAGCTGTAGTTCCTCCTGACTCTTTCCATTTAACACTGGTTGTTGACATAATAAATGAAAATAGAGCTTTCTGATGGTTGCTGCTTTCCCACAGTTAACAATAAATAATGCAGTCACATCTAAAGGCAGCTTACCAGGCACTCCAATAACCGAGCAGGGCGGGCAATAACAATTAGAATCTTTCGGACTAGCTGTTTAATAAATGCCAATTCTCCACTTTCTGAACGATCATGAGCCTATGAAAAAGCAGTGAAAAGAATAATGATACAGAGTTGCTCTACTAAATGGAAAAGAAAATCAGCAAAGCATGCTAATTAGATAATTGCCAAATATTTAAAAATCACATGATTTAGAAAATACTCTTAAAAGATTGATAAATGGGCATTATCTCTATATAAATGGATGCTATTAAACATCTACATCTAGAAAATAGCTCTACTAACTAAACTTTAATTGCAAAACTTTGATTTATTATCTCTGTTGAAAATCAAACATAAGGACTGTTAATGTGAACCATGAATGAAGGAGACATTAAAAGTTTATGACACATTAAGTACATGGTACCAGTATAGGCAGCTCATCAAGAACCTGCATTTTCCAGATGTAACATGTTAGATGTATGAAATGACTAACAGGGATGGAATATTTTGTTATCCTGAGCATTTAACATGTTCATGAAATACAGTTCACATACAAAACATGATTAACTAACAAATTACTTATTTCATCACATGTAAAAAATGTGCAATGTTTATTTCAAATGTTAGCTGAATATATAATATAAATTCAGTTTCACACATTGAATATGTAGGCACTGAACTATACAAGTAAAATTTAACTGACCCAAAAACTTTTGAAATTTTATTTTATATGTTTTCTAAGCACAATACATACTTTGAGAGCAAAGCTCAGTATGTTAGTAGTCACTGAAACTTTCAATGATATTGCCTTGAAGAAATGTGGTTATGTGTCTCTATCAAAGCTGGCACAGAACAAAAATTTTAGAAGTTGTAAATGTAAATATGCATACTCATTTTAGATTCTCTGAATTTTTAAATTTATATGATTTACTTTCCTCTAAGGATTTTAAAAAAAAAGTATCAAGGCGATGCTGGTACAATTCCACAAACACAGTAATAAGCTATTAAAATCATTCATGAAGCTGGGGATGGTGGCATACACCTAGAATGCCAACTACATGGGAGGCTGAGGAAGGAGGATCACAAATTCTGCCAACTTGAGTAACTTAGTGAGACCCACTCTCAAAATAAAATAAAAAGGGTTTGTGCCTGCTCTGCATGCACAAAGCCCAGGGTTCAAACCTCAGTTCCATTTAAAAAAAAGCACATTCATAAATGTGCTTTATCATGACAAGGCCCAATCCCTGATGCCACCCCCCTCCAAGAGCTGGCAGACAAATTTATGAAAAATGACTGTATATGTCTGTTGAATTTAAACCATCAAATCAAAGGCCATGGTCCAAAATAAAAGAAAGCATATATAAGTAAAAGGACACAGCTAACATTTAAAATTTTTAAATATAAGAAAAATGAGAATGGATTAATAATCATAGAACAAAAAGTATCTATTCTACTTAAACACAGAGATATATACATGTCAAATATTGAAAACTATCTTAAAAATTTTTTTTCTAATATGCATTTTGCAATGAAAATAGATTTTAGAAAATACAATGAATGCACAGAAATGTGGTTATGTGTGTTTTTTATAGTTTATACTTAATTAAACAAAAACCCCTAAAGTAAAAAACAAAACCAAACAAAAAAATCACTGACTTCTTGGTGAGAATTTGGGTTGACCACTGAAGTTTCTCTCTACTATAATAGTGTTTTATTAATCCAGGAATATAAAAAATGTCTAAAAAGCCTGAATACATTTTGGTGTGTTTTTCTCCCCAAGGGAAATGAGAATTTTATATGTGAAAAAACTTAAAAATACTCATTCAGATTACATAAATTCCATTTCAAAAAATTATAAAAACAATCATTCCAATTTCTTTTAACAATTATCAGTCACATCCAAGGCCCAAAATATGAGTTATATTAGCTCAAATAATATTTTACCCATATCATTAGTGGGGGATAGAGGAAGAAGAACTTTGTTAAAACATCAAATGAAATAATAAAATTAACCTGACAAGGGAAACTGTTTCCTGGCTTGCTGAGGCCAAAGGGGGTACTAATGGACACCCGTGGTCAATATATATTACCTGTTGGCGACTGTAAAAAACACTATGACCCAGATTCGAGAGTAAGTTAGAGTTTCCTGTGTATTTTCTTTGAGTAAACACACCTTGGTGAAAAGGAGACCTGAGAGACAGGAAAGCATGCATCTGAATTGACCTAGACTTCAGGACTTTCAAAGGCATCAGTTAAATCAAGCAGTTCAAACCATAGGGGAACCTTGCCTTGGGTTATGCAAAGGACAGACAACTGGAAAGAAGGTGGGGAGAGAGGCTTGGTGGGGAGAGAGGCTTGTTAGCAGAGGGTTGGAGCCGGGAACTGACAACTGTATCCAGAAGAAACCAAATCAAGTTCCCATAACCAGGCTCCAGCTAGAAGGGGACAGTTCTTCTGTGACAGATTAGCTATAAACTCCCAAAGGCCACTATACATGTGACTCTGAAGATAGATTTAAGTTTTACAAAAATACTGAAAGAAACTCTCAATGAAGATGAAAAAGAAAACATTCTTACCCCTACCTAACAATGACCTTTGTGACCCAAGTATAATGCTTCTCAGCCAGAAGAGAAATTTCTCTAAAACTCAACAATTTTCATCTCTCATACAGCCCATTCACATGATTTTTGAAATTTTTAAGATTTATTTTTAATTGCCATGAAGCAATCTGCCAAGTCTGTCATACAGAAATGAAAGAAGGGGATTATAATATAAATAGCTATGGATAGCAAGTCTCTATCCCTTTCAGGAAGTGCCTACAAAGGAATAAAAAACAGAACTACACTGGTGATTATGATAATATCCTGGGACAGAATGGCAGAATCCAGGATGGAAAACCTCACAGAGCCTGACTGCAGAGCTTCTCTCAGGTCTGCCTTGTCTGTTCAAAAGTACACCATTTCACAACCATAGTTTCCAAGGTATTCACATATACAGTAATAAGCATAGTGTTGCCAGCATTTCCAAGAAGCTGATTTAATTAAAAGGAATATAAAAATTAGATTATTTGATGCTCCATAATCATAGATCAAATGTTTGGCATGCCATATGTATTTTCTTCCTTCTTCTCTCTCTTCCAGCTTACTAAGGATGAATAAATACCAGCCATGCACCAGGGAGTTAGAGATGACCCCTCTTCCTCAAAGAGCCCGCTGTGTGCTAGTAAAGCGAGACCCCCTGATAATCATTATAGCGCACTGTATGCACCCAGGGGGACACAAGCAGTAGGCCATATTATGGTTTTTACCTGTAGATAGAATAGAACACTGGGGAGTGTTAGACCAATGTCCTTGCAGCTGCACAGAAGGGTGGCGGATCTAAGGGTTAGGCCTGGAGGAAAGCAGATCATTGGGGATGAGGGTCCAAGTCAGGAAGTGAGAGAACAGGAGGGGAAAGTTGGAGAATATTTAAGAAGAAAACTATGAGAGTCCAGTGGCTGCATCATGTAGGGAAAGAGACAGTCTAGTAGGACTCGGAGTCCTAGCATGTGACTGAGAAGATGGTGGTGTCAATAATGGAGGCAAAGAATAAAGAAGCAGGTTTCGTTGAGGAAATGCTGAGTCCAGCTGCAGACAGAGTGGGTTGCCCACTGCTACTTTGCAGGGCTCTCCAAGTGGGAAGACATTGAGTAGGCAGACATACAAATCTGAAATGTCAGAGAACACTGCTGGCCTGAGATATGGACTGGAAACCACTGGAGTCCATATGTCTTTCATTAAAGATAGTCAACAATATCTCCAGAAGAGAGAGCAGAAGGAGTGGAACCAGGATGAAACTGTGGGCAAACTAATTTGTAGAAAAATATGAGTTGGAAGAGGCCACGAAGAAGTGGTCAGAGAGGTACCAAGAATAAAAGAATATGTTAAAGGGACAAAGAGGGAAAAGAGTTTGAATACTGCAGAATAGACTGGTTCCAGTAAAATGGCTAGGGGCTCTACCAGCCTCTGGTGGGTGAAAGGACACCACTCATGCAACTAATATTTGGGTCCTTCTATGTGTTACATACCATCCTACCTGGATAAAGCATGTAAGATCCTTGCCCAGAGTCTTTATATTCCAGCAGAGTGCTACTCAAAGTGTGTCTGCAGACTGGTGCCAGTCAATGAACCGTTATTAGTGTGTGATGAGCTAAGCCAACTGTTGAGAATAAGAATTTAGCAACTCTTAAAGCAAGTTTACTTGGCCATGTCACCCAAGGGCATGACCATTTTCCTGTAAATTCACTTTCATTTTAGTTTATGGGAGAATTGGTCCACGGCAAATTGGAAATTGACAATAAAAATCAAAAACAATATTTTCACCCCCAAAGATAGTTTAAGAGGCACTGCTCTAGTAGACTGCAATAGGTTGAAATGTGAACAATGGCAAAAGAGCAGAGAAAACTCTTCTGTGAGTTTGGATGAGAAAGGGAAGAAAAATAGTGGCTTCTAGCCAGAGAAGAATAGTCTTATCTTGCCAGAACTAAATTCTGTGGGGCAAGGACAGATGGATTTCTCAAAACTTGGGATGCTGGTATTTTACTTCATTTTTGTGTGAATATTTATATATTCATGCTTAGAGAAAACCACCTATGCTTGTATTTACATGGGCATAATTTATGTCCTATGAGATAGAGAAATACTATAAATCTAAATATATAGGCTAAATAGGTTTCACTTGTAGGCTGTGGCTGATCAATTTCAGTCAGAAGAGCAATATTATGCAGTAATTCCTTTCCACCACAAACATTCCTTTCCTGTCCTGGGTGTTATCAGGAACTAGGCATGCAAGTGCTAGGCAGAGACAGTTCCTGTTTTTATCTGTCATTTTGGAAATTGGATATTTTGTTAGAAGAAGAACTGACACTAATGAAAATATAAGTTACCATTTACTACCCAACACCACATGTAGGTTAATTAATAGGACTCATAGCCTGGAAGGAGCCAGCAATTTTCCATTTAGCTTTTTCAGATATTAGAATTAGATAGCACACCATCAAATAACACACATATGCTCAGGCAATTTCTAACTTTATGGGTAAGGGGTGGGGAATCACTGCTTCAAAATCCTTCAAAATCCACTTATCCCAGAGTCATAGATTGTTGAGTCCCAAGGTTCCTGTAAAGGTTATTACATTAACTTTCTATTACTCTACATAATGACCAGAATCAACTTATAGCAAGTAGCAATCAGGTTGGTTTTTTCTCTCTTCTTTATTTCCCTAGAATGTGAACGCCATCTCATAGTTACCACTTGTAAGCAAACGGTATGGTAAAATATCTTTTTTCTAGGGGAAATGCAAAACAAATCAGAAAACTTTATATGCATGGTGCATGGATCTTACCTCCTGTAGCAACTTATCTAATTTGTGTTGCAATTCAAGGAAGTATCGTGAGGTGATGAGACCCTGGTGGGATTTATCCAAACAATCTCGAGCCAGTTCAATAATCTGATGGTGAGTGAAACTAAGCACTCCATCTGCTAGGGGAAGAACGTTGTCAGGGGAGTAGCTGGTGATAATTTCCTTTAGACGTTCTTCCATCTGAGCTGTAGCCTGTTCAGAGAAGACACACATGCACACACAGGTGTAACATATGGAGACACACATGTAAACAATTCAGCCATCATGCTTCCTTAGCATTTTCAGAGATCTGTGCAAGATGTTAAACAGAATTCTAAAATGTAAATGTAAAAGAAACCTGAATTCTGGCCTGAGGGTTTAATAATTCTGTGGCAGAATGCTTGCCTAGCACGTGAGAGGCCCTGAATTTGATCCCCATACTGGAGGGGAAAAAAAGTAGAAGCCTCACTTTTGCATGATATAATAATGGCACACATATGCCATTATACATCTGTCCAAACCCACTGACTGCACACCACCAAGTGTTGTGATGTAAATGTGGACTCTAGTGGGGCATATTGATAATGGGGGAGGCTAGGCATGTCGGGGGCAGGGTGAGTAAGGAAAATCTCTGTACCTTGCACTTAACTTAATTTTGCTATGAAGCTAAACCTGATGTAGAAGATAAAGAGGAGGGAGAGAAGGAGAAGGAAGGGGCCACCCCATCTCATCATTTGGAATAAAGATAATAAGGATTCAAGGTATTTAAGTGAAAATGTATATTTCAGAATTGCCAATCCCTCTTTTTCCATATCCCATCAAATATAAAATGATCCACATAAGATTCTTTTTTTAAAAACAAATTTTAGTTGTTGATAGCTCTTTATTTATTTATTTATTTATACATGGTTCTAAGAATCGAACCCAGTGCCTCACACATACCAGGCAAGTGGACTACCACTGAGCCACAGCCCCAGCCCCCAAAATAAGATTCTTAAAATAACTCCAATGATATCTGGAATTGTTGTGCTTTCATGTTAGATCTTGAGCTTTTGGGGATAGACTGTCAAAAATATCAAATATTTCTTCTCTTGTTACTTACTCAAAACTCAGGACTGCTGCTCCAGTTCCACAGCATGAGCCCAGAATTTGTTTTCTTGGCTAGATTTCAATAAACAAGGAGCAAGCATCTTGTATCATCTTTATCCTTCCCTCAAAAAGCTACATCTTGTGCAAAATGCCAAGGGAATTCCTTTGGTAAAATAAAGCTAAAATTTTCTTTCCAACTTTCATTTCCTTCTCTGTGATCACCTGCTGCCTGATCAATATTCCTGGGTAGCATGAATTATATATGAAGGGAGATTCCCTTTCCTCCTTTCTCCTGCTTTCCTCTAAGGTTTGAACATGCATTAACTAGCCATGGTAAGTATCTGTCTCCCTAGTGAGCAAGGGACATGTGATAAATAGCTAAAACAGCTTCAATCAATGACATCAATATAGGGTTCATTACAAATAATAAGTACTCTATTCCTGATTTATGAAACCAAATATTTCCCTTTGTTCTTATGCCTGGGTCAACAAAAGGGTGGGTGAGGTACCGGAATGATATGGAGAGGTTGCCTTCTCCCAAATGTGCAGAAACACTTTGGTGGATAAGACACAGAGGTGAGGCAAAGTGACAGGAGACCACAGGAGAGCAGCTCCTTGCAGGCAAGGGGTTTGGCTACAGTCCTTGGACAAACTGTACTCTGGCTCCATCAAATTCCTTTTATCAGCCTAACTGAGGAACACTGCAACTGTACCTTCCTTTCTTTAGCAATGGAATTAGAAATATCACAGCTAAAGAGATGGGAAGTCGCAGAAAAGGAAAATAAGGTTTAAAAAGCAAAACAACTTTGATGTCACACCAATCTATAGCTTCAGAGGGAGAAAATGGGTCTCTACTTGACAACACAGTAGCAGGTCCAGAACACAGGTACAAGGAGTACAAAGGGCGGAGGGGCTTTTGAAAAGCAGACCCTCCCTGCACCAGGCCCACCTAGGCATGGGGCACAAGCCGAGCATTCACTTTAAAGCCAGTTCAGAGCACCCACAGAGTGGAGAGTCCTCAGCAGTTGTTAGCTTAATGTTTGTTGTTGTTATTGTTTTTTTAAAATTTTTCCCTTTTTAAGAAAGCTGCAGTGCTATTTAATGCAAATCATTACTGGATAGGACCCTTACTTCCTATGACAAAATCACCTTACAGATGCTCAACCCATGTTGCCTGTTCATTTAGATGCTACACATCTTACATTCAATTCATTACCTTTGGGAACCTTTCTTTGTAGACATGGTTCATCATAATTATTTCATGGTCACAGCAGGCGGGGGAACGTCCAGGGCTGCAAGCAAAGCAAATTATCCTTTTAAACCTGCCACAGCATGAAATGAAAATAAGCTTTTTATTTATAAACAGTGAGTTGCATCAAAAGTACAATGCAACCTTTACATGGAAAGTTTGCTGTATTAGGTAATAAACCAATAAAATCAGTCATTAGTACATGTGGACACTTACATACCCACAAACACAGAGGCATTGTGAAGAGGACTCAAAAAGCAGGCTCAAAAAATAAAATGCCACAAAAAACATTATCATATGATACCAGTTCAGAAAACATTCTTAAACTGAGACTATATTCTACATGTAGTATGAGTTTATGCAGTTGCAGAAACCTATTAATGAATTGTACTATCATGCAAAATAGGGCAGCCATGAGCAGCAGCATCTAGGACATGTTTAACAGTGTAATTTCACACTTTTATCATACACCTGCGCTCGGCCACATACCACTGGAGAGGGCTGAGAGTTCTCCATGGCACAGGTGTCGTAAGTGAAATCCATTTTCTAGCCTAGCAAATATGTATTTGGGATGCTGAGGTAGGCATTATATACACTAAGAAACAGAGGCATACAACTGTTGTTTTCCCCTGTATTTTAGTAGTCCATTTGTGACCTTCCTGGTGTACAACGTTAGGGTATTTACATTTGGGGGTAGGTACAACTTATACAAGATATGCCAGGAATTTAATAAAAGAAAACAAAACAAAATGGCAGTAAAACACAGTGTCCCTTAGATGGACTGGTACAACTTATCTTTTATTTTGTATCTCAGAATATTCTAAAATATCCCCACAATTATCAATGTGGCTATACTTGGTGAACACTTGACTTTCTTTATATTACATCCTTACTATGTCAACGTATACCAGTTTCACAGCGTCAAGATCTGTTGTCACTGGGCAATGAGATGGGCAATTGGATGACTCCCTTCTAAGAAGGACTTGCTGCCAAGGCAGCTGGAGTGCTGTAAGGGGAAATGCTGACCTGTCAGACTCTTCCAGGATGGCCCAGCTGCAAGGAGTCATCTGGCTAAAGCAAAGTTCTTCTTAGAGTGCCATATCCTTCCCAGGGTGTTTCAATAACAAACCAATGACTGTGGCCATGTGGCCCCAGGGACAACTCCCTGTGAGTTCCTCAGGGGTACTTGGGTCTATATTATAGCTGAACTGCCTCTGCCCAGTCCCACTTTCTCCTTTCCCTTCCAAAAGTGTTGGTTCCCAAAAGGATCCCTAATGAACATTCTGGACAGGAATCTGTACTTTAGAATCTGCTTCCTGAAGAAACAGACTGTGATATATACTATTCGAAACAAGGTTATTAAAAAAATTTAAAAAAACCTGTCCCTACCCAATGTATAGTAGATTACATTTGACATCCACAAAATTCAGGAGACACAAACTGCTGAAATTTTGTTCAGAGTCCTGGAGAAGGTAAGACTTATGCTGTGACCAATGAATCAAAAGATTAGGGTGGGCTTTTATAATATGGAATCTGGAAAAAAATATCCTCCTTCCTTTTTGGCCAACCTTCTTCCTCTTCATTTAATATTAACTGCTCTTGGAGCTGTGATAGATTGCCTTAAAATTTCTAATGGCTACAAGTTTCTATAGGTAGCCCCCTAAGGCCATCACCGTTACCATTAAAGTAGTAATTAGCAAATTATGAAAATTTAGAAGAAACAAGACAGTGCCACAGAATGATAATTAACAATGTCATCTTTTATATGGAAAAGTCACACTCTGTTTATGATAATTCACAGATTAGTTAACTCATATATGAATTAAAAAATGAAAGGTTTTCACTCAAAATGGCTGAAAACACATACTCCAGGACATAAATTTGTGGTCGGGCCCACACACACCTGAGACTCCGGGAACGGGGGCGCATGGGTGTGTTCCTGCATCTGTTCTCAGTGGCAATGCTTTCAGTGGTACAAAAATGTTTCGATAAGAAGTGTAATTCATCTGGCGTTGGTTGGTATGGTAACTGATGCAACTTCTCCTGGGAGGAGCAGGATGACTGAAACAAACCAAAATAAAGTTATAAGACTGTCTCTAAAACAAAGCACCAAACCTGGGTGATACCAACATTTTATATTGCTTCCTTTTTGTGTTATAATTTCAAGTACGGCCTAATTATATTTCTGACCATTTTCTCTGAGGGGTCAGTTTACCTTCTATATCTCATTTGTCTATAAGGACAGTTTCCCAAAAGATAATTTCTTCTCTGGATAAAACCAGGCTCAGACAATAAAAAGAACCCAGGTAAAGCCAAAGGGAAAAAGCAGAGGTGGAGTGCAATTTGAGTGCTGGGTGCGTTGTATCACAGATTAGTTCCTACCTGAGTATGGTAGCCTCACTTATACTGTTCTCATGATTAAACACTGTGATTTTAGGTAAATAACAAATGATATGATGTGAGATCAGGAATAACATGGTGAAATCTCTATTAAGAATGCATGTTGCTGGGTGTGGTGGCACACACCTGTAATCCCAGAGGCAAGGGAGGCTGAGGTAGGAGGAATGCGAGTTCAGAGCCAGCCTCAGCAATTTAGTGAGGCCCTGGGCAACTCAGCAAGACCCAGTCTCTAAATAAAACACAAAAAGGGCTAAGGATGTTGCTCAGTGGTTAAGTATCCCTGGGTTCAATCTCCAGTACCTACCCCCACAAAAAGAATGCATGCTGTCCTTTGATGCCACTACCATCAATATGTGTCATGGGTAAAACAGAAAGGTTAAAGAAGCTTTCTCAGTAAGATCATACTTTTAAATTTTGTAATTGCCCCCTCCCCCCCACTGAGGCTATCACTTTTTTTTTTTTTTTTTTTTTAATGTTACTAGGGATTTGAATTCAGGGCTTCACATACATACCAGTGAAGTGCTCTACCACTGAGCTACATACCCAGCCTTTTAAAAAATTTTTGATACAAGGGCTTACTAAGTTGCCCAGGTTGGCCTCAACCTTGTGATCCTGCCTCAGCCTCCCGAGTAGCTGGGACTACAGGCATGCACCACTGTACCTGGCTGTTTTGCTTTTTGAAAGTATTCAACACCTAGAACATGGTATGGTAGAAAAGATGAACAGCTAAATAGCACCACTTTAAATCAATCTGGGATATACAGCTATAAAGCAGTTTGCAGTTTTAGTGAGAGGTAAACTCTTAGCATTCTTAATACAAGAGATCGAGAAATTGTTAAGTGGAAACATGGTTTAAGATAAGCATATTTTGAAAGACACCACTCATTTGAAAATGTCAGTTCTAGAAGGCTTTATTTAAAAAAAAAAAACCAAACCTGTCAGTACATTAAGAGCACCTTTGTAAATACCAACCCACTGCAATGCAGTAACACTAGGAAATAACGGCTAGAGACTAAAAATATCCAAATACCTTGAAATTATAAAATGCCTTACTAAGAACAGACTGAGACAAAGAGGCACTTTTGTAGTGTAATGAGATTATTTTACAAACCATAAAAATGAGAACACTACTAGAAAGACTTAGAAGATAAACACAAAGCTTTATTCAGAATAAATAGGTACAGCTTTAAATATGTTCATTATGAAAAAAATAAAACATATGACCTTAGTCAATTCAAGAATTCAGGAAAATAATAAAAAAAATCAATTCAGGCAGGAGAGAGGTGGTGGTAGTAACAATTAAGACAATGAATTTAGCAAATGGAACAAGAGATTTAAGAATCTATACATAGTGCTGGGGATGCAACTCAGTGGTAGAACACCTGCCTAGAATATGTGAAACCCCAGGTTCAACACTCAGAAAAATTATACATATGTCTCAGATAAATCAATGTCTACATTCCTGTATCTCAAGACTGAAAAACCCAAAAGTTTGTTCATAAGTTTAAAGAAATCACTTTGGATGGCAAAGTATCAATTCAAATGTAAGCTATTTAAAATATTTATTTAATCCACTGAGTGTGAATGTTGATTCAAGTTGCTGTAGAAATAGTAATGGATTCTATCCTAAGCCGCTGGCCCAATTGCTATTGGGCTACTATGTAAAGAACAAGAAATCACATTACTTATCTAAAAATAAAAATTAATAAGGTTAATCTTCCAAACCACAGCAGGTTCAAGAATTTCACACAAATCACCAAGAACAATACAAATGGACTACAGAGAGGGGTCTTCTGTGGAGGAAGGAAGGAGAGAGAATAGGGAGGGAGAGGCTTTGGTGATATCTTTAACATTTATTAAACAAAATAAACATATGTCTTTTAAAACAGCTGTAGCAAATGTAACAAAATGGTAACAGCTATTAAACATTAGAATTTTAAAAATAATTTTATCATATAACTTACATAACCTCTTAAGCAATGTGGCCCATGTTTAGTGACAGAGAACATGATAAACTGGGTGATGTAAAGCTACAGGGGCTGTCCTAACCTAGTACTGGAGAACTAGGGAAGTGGGAAGCTTCTCTGGGGAGAGTTCTTTTCATCTCGGCTGGAATGAGCAAGGTGTAACTGGACTTAGGGCCAAACCAAAAGGATGGTCCCAGGGCAATGAGGACAATAGCAGCATAGTGAAATGGCCTGGAGGGGTGAATAAAAAGGTATTAAATGGGGCCCCCAAAGTGAGTTTTGTTGGACAAACATAAGTATATGTTCAGTTTCAGCAGAAATGAGAGACTCAGAGGAGAACTTCAAAGCCAGAGAAGAGAGTTCCCAGGGCAACAGAAGGATTCAAATGCAGTCTCCACTGTCCATGGGCCTCACAGACTTTATCTATCTATCTATCTATCTATCTATCTATCTATCTATCTATCTATCTATCTATCTATCTATCTTTTTGAGACAGGGTCTATTCATGGTACTCGGGCTGGGTTCAAAGGATCCTCCTGTCTCAGGCTCCCAAGTTGCTGGAACTACAAGAATGTTCCACCAGAGGTTGCTCTCAAATGCTTATTGAAAAAGTTCTTCTCTGTTAGTCAAAACAGTGTTGAGATACCACTTTTAGAAGAGTTTCAAGAATTAGTTTGGGAATTTTCCAGTAAATTAAGTCTCATTTTTTTTCATATTCCTCTCAATGTGGTATCACTGAGTCTTGTTCTCCAACTAATTTGCATATGATTTTGACTACAGTATAAATCATATCCCTTTTCAAAGAATGAAGATGTACACAAAAAAAACTCTGCCAGTTTTCAAGGCAATGAGAGTTCCAAATACATGTTCTGAGTAATGATATAATTTCAAATAAGCATTTACTCTCTCAAGATAACCATTCTGCAAAGGATAGTATGCATATGCATGCCTAAGTTTCTACTTGTTATTTATTAAAAGCAATATAATTTTACAGTCATACCTCATATTTATGAGTATTTATATTCTTATTTCCACTCTTTCTCTCAGCAGAAAATAATTTATCTAGTGGGAAATATATGAAGGAATGTCTTCTAACTACTGCAATTCCACATTACTTACTTCAAAATTAAAATTATGATCTGAATATTATCTTGGAAAAGTTCCACAAATTAATTCTAACCGCAAAATTTGATGCTAAGAGAGTTTCAATACTAAATAGTCTCTGGAAAGACTGATTGACTTCATATGACCAAATCTTTACAATTTCAGAATATAGCATTTTTAACATGTGGGCAATTTTACAGTTTTTATCATACCCAAAGGATAATGATATAATAATGTTTACATTTCAGCATAAGCAGTTTTGGAGTTCAGCTAACAATGCAATTATCTGTAAAATTTAAACTGTATTTTCAGAAGGCTTATAATTTTATCTGTATATATTCTATAGTTTTATTTAAAAATAAGTGAAGTGTATTTTTGATTGGCTAAATGACTAATAGTTAATGAGACATCTAAGAGTGATGCACATTAGAGTTAGGAAAGAAGATACTGTAACTACTAAGCAGTTTTACACAAATTTTGCTCTAATATTTAAAGGACAGGACCACAGATAAAATGAAGAAGAGAGAAAGTTGGCTTTTCTAGTTTTTGCTCATCCCTTTTATCAACAACCAATAAGGAGAAAAGAGAGCTGTGCTTTTATGCAACGACACCTCCAGTCCACAGATTAAACTGCTCCTTCAGATTTTTGGCAAAAGAACATCTTGGAAGCTAAATTTTCATTTTGACAGAAAACAGAGGAATGTTGATATCAACAACCACATATCACCTTCTTCAATAAGAGAAATGCTAGAGAGAGAAAGTGTTCAAAACAGAGTAGGTGTGTTTGGCTAAAAACCATCCCAGGTAACTTCTTCTTTATAGAAGTTAGGGACAGCAGTGGCTCCATTATGATTGATGGTCACGTTAAACTTTATTTATTTATTTATTTATTTTTTAAATTTTTTGATGGCCATGTTAAACTTTCTAATTACAAAGTTTGTTTTAAGAAATGTCATATAAATGTCTTAGAAATAGCTAAAAGATAAGGTTTAGACCACTTGTTGTATTCATATTGGTAAGTGTGGGGTTGATAAACAGCCCCTTGAGTTTCTGATCCATAAAATGAGAAAGACGGAAGCAACTACATCACAGCTATTGTTGCCAGGACTCAATGAACCCCAGCACTTTAGAAATTACACTAGTTCTACCTCATAATATGTACTTTTAAAGATGTTATTTTAAAAATTATTCATATGCAATGTAGTCCAAATTCCACATAACTTACCCCTTTACAGATTCTGTTTTGTTTTGTTTTGTTTTTTAATGGTGTACTATATACTAGAGATGGAAAGGAGAGGTCCTGCATGCTATTTTTCTTGCAAAAGAGATTTCTGCATCCAAACTATAATAAACTCCACTAAAGGCACTGCAAGCTGATAGGGCTGAAATAAAAGAATTTGAAGTCGGGAAACATGAGTTTAAATTTTGAGTCTAGGGAGAATTAAATGAGAATAAGTACAAGAAAGCCACAGAACAGAAAGCCAAGCATCTATTTATTCATGTTTGGCTCTAAATAAAGATACCCAAAGATCTTGGAAAGTATGGCACTTAGAACTTAAAAAAAAAAATACTTTTTTTTTCCTGTCAATTGATTTCAGCATTTGTTTTCACATTGTGGTTTTCTATATTTTCAATGTGGAGCTGTGAGCAGTTACTGTCATAAAGACAAATGATGACTCCACTATTAGTGACAATTTTATTTGGTGATGCCATTCAATATTTTTACAGATGTGAGACTGATGAGCCACTGGAACTTCTCAAGATGGTTAGGATGTTTCTCAAAAATAATCTCAAAGGACAATAAATTCATATACTACAACAAAGGAAATAATATTTGGAAAATAAATGACCTCTCTTCGATAAAACACTATAAGAGAAAGTATTTAGTAATTCAGCAGATTTTAGCAGTTCAGTTTTAAAGGTGCTCTGGAAGGGGCTGGGGTTGTGGCTCAGTGTTAGAGCACTTGCCTAGCATGTGTGAGGCACTGGGTTCGATCCTCAGCCCACATCAAAATAAATACATAAAATAAAGGTATTGTGTCCATCTACAACTAAAAAAAAAAATAAAGAAAGAAAGAAAAACAAAAATAGGTGATCCAGAAAACCCACATTTTATTACACCCAGGGTTCTGGAAACGCACAAGATTAAGGCAGTGGTTATACCAATTAACATTTATCAATTTAACTGCAGTTTCTTGTCAATCCAAGCATTATTAAGTGCTTGAATCTATGTGCTTAGCACAGTGCTTTGGGCTGCAGCAAACACAATAGATGGATATCCCTAAATAAGAAACTACAGATTTTGACAAAATGAGGAAGGAAATGCATCCAAAAGGGCTCTACAGTCACTGCTCCATATTCCTGGCTGGTACAAGAGCATCCGGGCCACCTCATTAGATATTTATTGAACACCTCAGACCTCCTGGGCCTTTCTAAATGACCACCTGGTTTCTAAAGCCCTGTGGATACAGATACCCAACAATGCCACTCATTTGAACTATAAACCCATGTTATCTAATCTATTGAGTTGTGTCCAGTAATTGATAGGCCTCTTGTTGAAAATCTTACTAGTTTGGGGCAAGAACTTCCTTTTCCTCTATCCTTTTTGCATAATTTCATCTTGCCTTTTTATTTAATGTCCTTTTCATCTTTCCTTAAAAGTCCTTTCCTAGTTAAAAAAAAAAAAAAAAAAAAGAAAGAAAGAAAAAGAAAGGGAAGCAAAAGCAAAAAGTCCTTACCTAGAAGGCACCTACAAATTTACAGCTTGCTTTTTGTTGTTATTGTTTTTAGGAGAAAACACAACAAACTTCTACCTAAAACATACAAGAAAAAAGACCAAGCCTATCCAAGTTTAATGGCACTTTCAGTATTAATATCACTGGCATGGAACCAAAGCAATAAAATCAAATTGTGTTTTCCCCCGCCAAACTATACCAAATGGTATTAAAGTCAAAGTTCCCAATCTCCTCCAAACTTGTGATCCTGGATCTTACACAATTTATGTGCCACTGTTTAGAAGCTTGCAGCAAAAGATGGTCCTTTCTGTGTTTGTCAGGCTGTCATTGGATGCGGAACCTATTCACAGTAGGAGACATGTGGAATTTATCTCCTCTTTCCTACCGGGAAACACCCAGAGAAAACATTGCCCACTCATTAGCTCTGCAGTTGTGAGGGAGAAGGGAGAAAAAAGCAGGCACTTACAGAGACAGTAGAACTGGGTGTGTTTGTCCCATAGCCAGAGGAGGGGAGGGAAGCCAAGGACCAGCGGCGTCCATCAGACCTATGGAGAAAGGGAAGGTCAGCTCAGGCCAGCACTGGAGGACTGCTACATGGCAACCCCAGGGAAACCAAGAATTTTTAGTCAAATGAATGACACAAACATAATCTGTGAGGATGTGGAAATGCTCAACCACGGTCAGGGTAAACAAACATTATACAGCACGTTGAATTTTATTTAAATGGAATCAATACACCCAAACAAGTAGAAAGTGAATGGGTTGATCCATAGTATTGATCTCTCACTAATACACTTTGACAAAATGAATACCAGGGATAATTACAATGATCAGACTCAGCAAATTCAAATGAATACAAACAGAAGTGGGGAGGAAAGGCACTCTCATCTGGGAACTAAAATCCAGGCCTGCAATCTTTGCAAGAGCCTGAATTCCACCATGGAACCAGAGCCTGTGGGGAAGTTCAGGGCTTCCCTAGCACTTTCCACTTAGTATTTTTAAGGGAACATTTTCTACTCATCACACCTAGGGAAGCGGGGAGCAGTAGGCTCAGAGCTGGCTCAACCTTCAAGGGGCAAATAACTTCACCACTAAGCAATTGACTGCCTTTGAGCTCAGAACCTCTGTAGGGTTAATGCCCAGTGATTGAAAGTGACTTGGCTTCACCAAGTGTCCTCCCATTGCAGTTTCTGAGCATGCAGCCTAGCTATGGCCAGTGAAGGGGGCAGGAAAAAAAAAAAATTCTGCCCTAGTAACAGAGCCAAATGCAAAGAATAAAGTCATCTGCTTTAGTTTTAGAGGTAAAGCTGTCAGGAACCTTGATGAGAGTAGTTTTTATCTTCAAATGGTAGTAGGACAGTGGCTTCTGAGGTGGACTAGAGTTATGAATTAGAGTCACTTATACAAGGGTCGAAGATGAATTCATGCAGTGGTATAGCTACTACCACTGACAGGGCAAGGTAACACCAGAAAGCAAATTTTCTGAAATCTTTGCCATTCTGGAACTATTAGCAATTTTATTATCAATTTCAAGTAAGACTGTACCCCTCAAATTATAAAATATTGCGGAAACAAATACATGCAAATTTGCACAGGGGAAAAATAGAAAAAACACATTTTATGAAGAGGGTTATTGTATTCTTAGATGCTGTAGCAAATGTAGATTTTTTAAAAAATAATCCAAGACTATATTAATTTACTAAAGGAATGAAAAGAATAGGTTAAATCTACCAGAGACATATTCCCAGTAAGTTTAAATCAGGGAATTCAACAGCATTAGACTTTGAGAAACCACAATTAGATGTTTATATAAAAAGCTGACCTTTTAGCCTGGTATTCAAAGGAAATATTATCATAGTAACGAATGTTACTGAAATAAAGGCAAATGGTCCACAAAGACAAAATGGAGAAAATCAAGTGGACAAATCACAAACTACTACAACGTTAAGATTTCGGTGAAATTTACCTGTCATTTCTGTGACCATGATTGGAGTACAATTGAATCAAGTATGTTAAAAAAAAAAAAAAGAAAGAAGAAGAAGAAGCAAAATGTTTGTAAATACACTGGGTAAAAGGAATTGGGAAAACTAAGTTATATGATGTTCAAGAACATTTTTTAAACAATTGAAAATATTAAAGGTTTAAGAAGAAAATAATTATAATAATATAAAGATATCCAACTATATCAGTTAAATGGATACAGGTTCACCTCACCATGCCTATACTTTATATTTCAAATATTTCCAATTTGGAAAAGTAAGAAAAAGATATGATTTTAAAAGAATTATTCAGTCCATTTAATAGCAATTATCAGAAACTAGTCTCTGGAAAGAGTGAGGGTACAATTTCCCCTACTATGATTTTGTTTTGTGATTCATTAACTCTGCTTTCCCTCAGGTAACAAAGAACATATTTCAGATGGATGAACAATTCCAAGAGGAGACATGTTCTTATTAACTCTGAAGCATAAATTACATTTGCTTAGTCCAGAAAACACACAGCTAGAAATATGTTTAAACAAGAAGGTGTTCAGTACTCTGTACAGCCATCAACCAGAAATAATTTATGTCTCATAAAGTTCCCTAAGTTGTCCATATCTATTTACTCAAATGGAGCAAAAGGACCATTGCATTTTCATTACCATGACAACCACACATCAGGAGTTACTATATATGCTGTATTCAGTACTTAAGAGAGAACATGCTCCCTTTTCAAGAAAGCTATCATAAGAGTGCAATTTGGATTCTACTAACAATGTTGCCTTTTCTTTGCAGTAGCTACCAATAAAACATTATCTGAAGACATGACTACATTCTTGCCAAACAACAAGGCTTTTTTGAAGAATCTTTATTTGTGGGTGAAATTTTCAATGCTACATTAAAGGAAAAAGTAAGAAGGAAAAACATCTAATGGAAACAAAGGATACAAAGAAATTGGCCATAAAATAAAATCATCATTTCAACACTACTCACAAAATTTAGATTTAAAAAATGCACAACAATGAAAGAATGAAAAGCTCTGATATCAACTGGGCTACTTCAATTGAATGAAGAAAAAGCAAATTTCTTTCTTTGTTTAATTGTTATAGTCACCTGGGGTAATACATTGTATATTATACTTGATGCAGGAATAAACTGAACTATACTGATGTAATATAACCAACTAAAATCAAGAAAGAATTTTGAAACAGGAACTAGGAAGTTGCATTGGTCAAAAGTGCTCTCATGATCTGAATTCAGCCACCAAATCTGTTCTTGTAAATTGCTGTGGAAATATATTCTGTGATTTAACCTGGCAAATAACAACTAGGCAACTAGGAGAGACCCCTAGCATTTATTCAAGGGCATTAGATTTCCAATGGAAGTGAAAGTAATTTAAACCTCTGTAACTTCCACAAAGCCAGACCATTATTACAAGGGAGGAAAAAAGGGAGGCGGAGGAGTAATTTACAATTAGATGGATTGAGCCTCATCAATACAGGCTGAGCATCCTCTTCCAAAATTCTTGGGACCACAAGTGTTTCAGATTTGGGAACTTTTTTGTCAAATATGTATATAAGCTTTAACCTTGAGCATCCCAAATTCCTCAAATCTGAAACTCTTTAGAGTATCATGTTCCTGCTCAAAAGTTTCAATGGCTCTCAAGAAGTTTCAGAAGTTTGAGCATTCTGGATTTTGGATTTGCAGATTAGGGATACTGAACCTGTGTTACAATTAGCAGTATGAAAATGTTTCCTTGTTCCAGATAAAATCTGTGATATTATGATGCTCATTTTTAATTGTTTTTAAACCTGAATATTTAAAATTAACTTGATAAATTTGCTCTTGAATCTGGGTTAGAAAATATGGAAAAGAAGTGTGCATCATCATATTTTACAGTCTGTAATTGAACTATTATAGGAGGTGTCTATCAATGAAACAAATAAGGTCAGAAAAGATTAATAAGCCTGACCTTCATTCTTCACCCAAGAATAGTTTTTAAAATACAGCAATATTTCCTCTATTGGACTAAATTCATAAGAAAATAAAATGTGAAAGTCTTAAAAATTTTTTTTTTAAAGGCTCAGAAAATCACAGCAACAGTGACCCTGGATAAAATCTCCATGCTTCCTAAATGAAAATCAACTCCAAAATTGAAGAGGAAGACTCCCAGATGATAAACAGCCAATTTGAATCTTCATAACCAATACAGAGTTCTGTTTACCTGAATAAATGTTTAAGAAGATGATCACTCACGTCATAATCTAAATTAATACTTTTTGAAGAGTGTGGAGGGAATTCCAGCTGGAAGTTCATGCAAAATGAACCAGAGGTCTCCTGTGATAATCTCCTGTCATGGCTTATGGTTTGTCAAAAAATAACATGCTTTGGGGTTTGTGTATTTTTTTTTTTTTTTTGAAAGCACAGAAACCAGATTCATCTGTCCTTCAGTCACCCACTTCATTATTAGATTCTCTTCATTTTTATAAATCTGGCAGGATTAAGAGGCTATGGTTTCTGTCATGTTTTAATGCATGCTGTAATGAGATTTGCATTTTTCTTATTAAAGTAATTAAATGCATTCCCTCCCCCCCTTTTTAGAGGTCTGTTTGTTTATTTTTAGAGGATTCTTTCTCCCACATGGAATAATAGTACTATCATGAATTAATATTCACTGGACAAGAGGCATCCTGAGACACAGTTAGTTTTCATGTTTTCTTTAGAGTACTTAAAATGAGAAACTAAAAGAAGTTGAAATTAAGGGAAGATTATGGTGTGGAGTCGTTAAGATCATTGGGGATTGTGGGGTTTTGTTTGTTTGTTGCTTCTTTTGTTTTTTTTAGATGGAGAAGGAGTTTCAGTATGTTTGCCCAGACTGGCCAGTAACTTGCAATTCTCTTGCCTTAGCCTCCAAAGTCACTGGGATTATAGGAGTGAGCCACTGTGACCAGCTGAGATGATGTCTTAATTATTCTTATATCATCCCCACAGCGGGAAACATATAGACATTTAACATATGATGGGAAATGACTAAACTAATGAAAGAACAAACATTTCTTTTTGGCTTGAGGCTTAATGAAATCTTAATTATACAGAATTCAGATAATGCTGCAAACATATCCTTTCCTCTGGATTCTTCAATAGAAAATGTATCACATGCTGACAAAGAGCAGTGAGCATATTGTAAGTTTTGCTGATTAGTAATATAGGTAGGAACAAATGCAGTTTTTAATTTACTTATATGAATTTATTAAGTGCTACTTTAATCTCCTTCAGAAGATACCCAGGAATCTGAGGAAATTTCAGCAAATATCTAAGACATTCAGATAATAAACCAAATTTATCCTGAACATTCAGAGACCAGACTCAAGGGGCATTTTTCTTTCACTGTGTTCTTCCTGGACAGAGGAAGAACTTAACTGTCCAAGTTAAGTATGTGAATTTAACAGGGTGAAGTACATTGATTGCACCTGTAGAATAGGAGGACATGGCTGAGTATACTCCTCTGACAGGGTTATACCATTGTAGAAGACGATCCCTGCAAAGGCTGAATATTAGATCCTTCAGAACAATAATACTTCCTCTTGACTCACTGTTCAAAAGGAGATGTATCTCTTTAATATCCCACGTCCCATTATAAACATGATCACAAGAGAAAACAAAACCCCCTATGATCCACATATGTTTATTTTTTCCCTCAGGGGGGATTACTACACTGCTGGCTTAATGCTCCCAAATATAGAAGCATCTCAGAGCTTACACTTTGTGATCCCAAGAAAGCCATTTTTAGAAAAACTATTCAATATGGACAACAAAAAAAGTTGCACTATGACACAGATTAGTGAAACCTCTATAATTTAAGCTCAGATAATTCAGGAATAACCTGTTGACCACCAATCATGTACAAGGCATGTACTAGGGATGAAAGAAAAGAGAGAAAGTATAATTTCCTGCCCTCACTGGGATATCTCCATTTGATGAAGGACCAAAAGAGGGACTTCAAATTCCAAAGTAAGGTGGAATTCGTCATTAAGGCCTTATGTGACAACCAGCGGGACCTCAAGAGCAGGGGGTGGGGGGCACTGGAAATGGAATTCTCCATATTACATGTATCACTCACAAGAAGTTCTTACCTCCGTGCAAATGAAAAATGGGCTGAGGCACTGGGGGAGAAATTTCTTGGACTATCTTGAGGGCTATTTCCTAGAGAGAGAGAAAAGAGAAAACTTTACAAGATTTTGTTTTTTGCACCATTATCCACATGTAGAATCTTCTTTCCTTAGTAATAAGTTCCTTTACATTTTTGTAAAATGTGCTTTCCCCTTATAATATACTTTTGGTTTTTACCTGGAGTACATTTTGGAGGAGCAGTATCTGAGTTCCAGCAGAGCTTTCCATGTGTGCAAGATAAATGAATACACATAGTCACCCATATCACCAACTGCAGTCTTTAACACATTTAATAATCTAAAGATTTTGGCCCTATAGACTAGTGAATATCTAAATGTCTGCGTTGTAACCCTCTAGATGCTAACATTTCAAAGAGCAGAATGGGCAGGTACATGTTTCAATTTGGAGGTACTTCTATTTGGGGAGACCACCTTAGTAAAATGTCTGAGTTCTTGAAAGCAAATGCTCAAAGTGCACATTTGAAATGTGTGTGTGTCAGGCTTAGTTATAAAATACTAGGAAGAATCCAGCCCCCTGGATATATTTCTAAAATGACCCAGATCGATCCTAGCATCGCTAGAGGGGTCAGCAGGATTATTCCTTGTCAATATTTTCTTCAACAATCTCTCTGCTCCTAAGCAGCTGGAGCATGACTGGCCAGGTGGTCTCTAAAAGCCATAGCCACACAGAGACTGGCAGCACGTATCTTCCCAAGTCCTTTGGAGGCAGAGGAGAGCACTGATTGCTCACTAGAAGGAGGGCAGCTCCTTTGGGGCTTGTTACTTTCTCTATTAGCCCACTCAACCTGCTACTGATCATTGAGAAAGCTTGGCAGGCAGCTGGCGAGGGCAAGTTCAGGACACTCCAGACCACCGTGTTTCTCTCTGCATGTTTAATTAGATTGGTGGAACTGACTGAGGACCGCCTGGGACTAGAGTTGATTTCAGTGAGGAGGTGAGGAAAGGCTACAAAGTTAGCCTGTATATTCTTGAAAAATGACTGATAAATCTGGAAATATGTTCCATCCCCCATCAGCAAGCCCAGTTGCCACAGCACTGGTTTCTTAGTGAAACGAAAATTGTAATTAGGTGTAAGGAACACAAGATTTCACATTAAAGTCAGTACCTGACTGTAAAGGAAAACAACCTATTACCAGTGTGCAGAAAGAATAGACTAACACATTAAGGAGGCTAAGTTTATGGTTACCTTGAGGACTTCTGGACTAGCTGCATCTCTACTGAAATTTTTCAATTAACTTAGGGTTGCAAATTTTATAGTGATGTCTTCAACAGATGCCATTAACTTTATGACAGATACTACAATCAAAGCTATTCAATGGGGGAAGTGCTGAGATGCCCATTTCTTTATGGATAGAGAATCAAGAAACATTTTTCCCCCTACTGCAATAAAATTTATTATGTCTTTGCATCTGGTGTTCCTTGGACCCTTGGAGAAATGGATTTTGCTTTTGCCATCTATTAATCCAGGATTCATTTTGTCCATTAAGCTACATTGCTAAATTAAGTTATTTTGACTCCTCTCAATAGCTTTCATTCCTCCCCCCTTAACTTAGCTTTTTACTCTTTATATTCCATAAAAGATCTCAATAATTTCAAGATAGCTAAAAAGTTTTGCTTCCTATGGGGAATAGTCTAATGCCAGAAATATTTGAATAGATTTTTTTTATTTGAGAGAAATATTAACTTTGCTCATACACCATATAGAGCAAATTACCAGTAAATTATTAGGAGTAACAAAACTACTACTTGTTTGAAGCCAAGATATTTTGAGAACAGACCTGGCTATCTCATTCACTTAGAATGAAATATAAGACCAAGAAAAAGTAGCTGCAAATTCTTAGCTTGTGTTCTTTGTAAAGAAAACACCACTATCTCTGGAGATTTGAATGTAATCAATTAGAGAGCTCATTAAATATTTTTACAAATCTGGAGAAAGAAGAAACAAGGAATTAATTTATAATCTTTTTCACTTTTAGAGATTTTTAGTCAGTGGTTCCCAGAAAACCATGTAACATTTTACAGTACATGGTAACCCATCCCATTGAAGATGGATGGGCAGAGAGATGGATATAAATGCAGCACAATTAAAAAAAAAAAAAAAAGAGGAAGAGGAAAAAGAAAAGATGGCCATCATTAACCATCTCTCATGTTCTGATTTTGCCTTAACATCTTGGGCTTCCTTTCCTCGTGTATTGATTGAATCATTTCCTCTTATCTACTTTTTAAAAAAAATTTCGCTACTATTTAACTTTTCTTATTTAAAAATAAATAGGGAGGGGGGTATAGGAAGGGTAGTAGAATACAATAGACACTAGTATGGCCCTATGTATAAATGTGGCTGTATAACCAATGTGATCCTGCAATCTGTACACGTGGAAAAATAAGATTACATACCCCATTTGAATCAAATGTATGATATGTCAAAATCATTGTAATGTTTTGAGCAACTAATAAAAAATTTTAAAAATCAATCAATCAACCAATTACATAATTTAACTCATTAATTATATTTTCTATATTCTCCATCTATAATCTTTTTTTTCTGAATTCACTTCTAATAACCAAAGCATTATCAGGTATATTTCATTAGCTTTAGCTCTATCCACATATCCATCTAAAAGACATCAAAAGCCAAACATAAGGAAAGTTATCTTCCTCTATGTATGTTTTGCAAAGTTTTCTCTCATTGCAGAGGAATAATTTTCTATCAAAGATTTTTAGGCCTAATGTCTACACCTATATATTGTATATGATCTGAAAAACCTCCCTCACTATGGAGAAATCCTTGGTTTCCAATTCATTGCTATAAAATCTAAATTTGTAGTGTCTTCCCCATTATATAAATGTTACATACATATCTAATTCTACTACTGCTGTAGAACCAACCCCAAATTCCCACATCTTCAACTTCAAGGTTGCAGACCTATCTGTATGATCTTAATAATACAGATCATTCTTTTTCTCAGGATTGAAAAGCTAAGCTGAAATGAAAATATTCATAGCATACACAGAGGCATGTGTTGCTTAAGGACTAGACACGTTCCGAGATGTGTTGCTAGGCAATTTCATCATCCTGTGAACATTACAGGATGTACTTAAACACAAGAGGGGGTATCCACATCACAAGGTGATGAAATCTTATGAGTCCACTGTCAATGTTTTGGTAGTACAGTCAATAGGATTTGCTGAGAAATGGAGTTGGGTAGAATGAAGGGGAAATAATGCTATGAAGTGCATGATTACATTATCAAGACTCTGCAGAGTCATGGATAGTACAGAAAATGATGAGAATGATGTGGACTAGAGTACCTGATAATTCCTTATGGACAAGAGACTATAGCTCAATTTAAGAGCAGTTCGGCAAGTTTTAGATAAGGGGAGAAAGAGAAGGGGATTTCTGGGAGGTCATAAGCAACCTAAACAGTAGGGAGATAAAAGAGACAGGGTTACTGGATGAAGAAAATTCATACTGGTGAAGTGAATAAGATTTAAGCTGTGTTTATGCAGGAACTAGTGGGGTGAATTAAGAGATGTTTGAATGCAAGGGAGAGGTGACACAGGTTTTCACCTGGCATGAGTGGGGTAGACAAAGGAGCATCAGAAGAGAAGAAGCTAGATCAGGCAGACCAGGCAAAGAGAAAGAATATTGTGGTGGGCAGACCAAGTGTGATTGGTGATGGATTAGAAATCAGTGATGAAAAAAGAGTATATACTACAAGTGAGTGGCATCTCCAATGCAGTGGACTGAGAGAACAGAATGACAAACCCAACAATCTGGAATCTAGAGAAAACAAAGTTGTGGTGGTAAAAGAGGAAAAGGGTAAATGAGCCTTTTGTAGACTTCTGTACCACATGTAACAAAAAATTCCATTTTTCTTAGGGAAAAATTATCAGACTAGCAGAATAGACACACAGAAGTCAATCTGTGAAGTCTGTTCTTATTTGAAATAGAAATTGATTTCTGCTTGGTCTCTGAAGATTTAGTGACACTGTTTTGTTATACAATGATCAAAATGCTGCTAACAGAACAGATAAAATTATAAAGCATACCATCTATATTGTTAATGCAGAGATGAGGGCCTGAAAGTTGCATACATGTGCAGCGCTTCCCCAGGATGAGAGCAAGACAGATTGAAACCAGAGTCCTATACATGACCTTCACTCCTCACAGCACTGCTCTCTGAATTCATCCACCCATCTGCAAAGCAATACCTGAGAGACTCTCAAATGAAAACTGGTGCCAGTTAATTCTCTGCCCATATGTGCAGCACTTGCTTATAACTCAAATCATGCTGCTCCGGGGATTTGCTGGCTCTTGGATGTTTAAGTGCTAGGATACTTTATAGACTGCTGGTATCACAGTTGATGTTTCTGACCTGGTAAAGTAAGCTTTAGTAGTGGTCAGGTATTACTTAAGTAATTAACTTCATGATCCCCATGGGCAACAGCATGGCTAATACACAACAGTGTATCAAAACCATATTCTACCTAATGGTGCTACACAGGGTGCCTCATTTCAGAGGCAGTTATTGTTAAGAAAGTGATTTCCAGATTAATTAAATTGTTTGATTGCTTTGTAATTAGGTTGGAGAAGTCCCGTGTCTTTGCCACAGTGAAGCAAGCTACAAATCTTTTTAAAAGGCATATGCTCTACTCACTATAGATTATTAATGTGCTTTTAATAGCTGTCTGTGGATGAGACAGTTTCTGATGCCTTGAGTTTCTATCAGGACTGAGGGAATCCAAGAATAATGATAATTACCATTTGAAACTCCTGGTGGATCAAACAGTAAGCCCCTATTTGAACCCTTGTTGTCATTACTTGGTAAGCCTCTTAAATTAATTGTGACATTTCATACGATAACAATCAGAGTAGTGTTTCTTACTGTTTTGTAGGAGATCCTCAGCAGCATATGGCCACTGTTCAAAATCCTTAAGAGCAAACTTAATCAAACCTAGGATCTCCTTGCAAAATGAATGCCAGCAGATGAAGAGGCTATTGAAACTATTTTT